CCATTATAATATTAGAAATCCTACATACTCATTGACAAATCAATATACAATATTCATAATAAAAGAAAATGGACAAAATTAAGTAGTCCAGTGCAGACTCACCCCCACTGCCACCCGTTGACGAGCTTGACACATGAGTTAGCCATCGCTTCGCTCATCTATATCCGAGGGAACGACCCGACGCACACGATACCACAGCAGAGATTTTTAAGAGAGCGTGACTACTCTATACTCCATTCATTATAACATTAGAAAAAAGAGGGTCATAGAAGCAGCAGTGCAAAACATTTTAATTAAAAGATGAATTTAAAAAATATATATTATAGTTTTGTTGAAACTTTGAATGTTAGGTAGTCTGAAAGAGTTGGGCAATTTTCCATTTTTTACGATACCTCGGGGTTGTGATGAGGCCAGCATTTTCTTAATTCATCTTTCACTTTCAAACCAACATGGAACTAAAATGATCTATCTGTTGTTTTGATAAATTCTAATTGCAAGTGCATATAGTTAGAATAGAATTTAGTTATATCTATGCCCAGGAAAGAAAGGTAAACAAAATAAATTTATTCTTATAACATTTATTCAGACATTAGTTAGACTATAGATGAAGACATTAGAAAAATTTCCTGAAATGACAAAGGTTGAAGGTAGGTATGGGGGATTAAAGCTTAATTGTTATAGATCAGTGATCACTCGGGCCTGCACCGACATAGTCGATATTTAACAAAACTTAATAACAAAAACAAAATTATAACAAAATAAAAATAAAACAATAACAACTTAATCACGGAAAACGGCAAAACAACAAGAAAGGCAGTAGCATTCACAACGGATGACAATCCCAGATTACGTATTTTAACAATTATGAATACATTATAGTCTGACAAAATTAAAAAACTGTACTGCCGAAACGTTTGAAGGGATGAGGCAACGTTTTAAATTTGGTAGCGTTATAGTGACATGAGAATCGTGCCGAAACTATCCAGCTTCTTTAGGTTCTTAGATGCACACTTTTTATTGTAATAGTTATTAAATCATTTCAGTTGGTCAAATACTCATAAATTTGTTTAATAGATAGCTTTAATGAGAACAGTTAAGTATAGCAGTTGATATTTAAGTGGATATGTAGCAAATTAACCGTCAGTCTTAAGAGTAACACGATAATTGATATTTTATCACAAAGTATACCACCAAAAGAACCTTATTTAACTTCTGTCTAATGCTATAATGAATGGAGTATAGGTACTTAATAAGTAATTTATATATATAAAAATTTTGTGTCACGATGTATGTTGCCAATAAACTCCAAAACTACTGAACCGATTTGTATCAAATTTCACATGTAGCCGTATTTTGGTCTAACTTACTGGATAGGATAGTTATCATCTCAATTATTCGCTTATGTTGTGAATGTAAACAAATAAAATGTTATAATTAATTATTTCTTAAGCAAGTGTTTATTTACTGTTTAGTTTTATGAAGTTCTCATAGATGGCGGTGTATGTTGATTCATAGATAAAATTCTTCAATATCGTTTGACATCTAGGTTGCAAATACACCCAATAGATGGCGCTGTGTTCTAGATGGCGTTTATTTTAAAGTAATCTGCGGTAATTCTTTCAAAAATTTTGCGTAGATTACGTTTTCGATAAAGTTTTGTGTAAACTTCAGAACTGTTTTTTTTTCATCTTTATTTCAAATTGCATTGAATTGGATTAATATCTCTAAAGTTTCAAAGATAAAGTGCTGAAACATATTGGACATTCGTTGGCATTTTGTTGTACTATCTTCGAACTGAAACATCAAGGTAATTTCATCATCAGCTCAAAAAATAACAGCGTTTTTGGAAAATATGATGCCCAAAGTAACTATATCATGCGAACGAAGTCGCGGGCAAAAGCTAGTATATTTCTATAAAACTGATTTCTAGATTTGGTTGAGTAGGAAGTCAATCTATTATTGACAATATTATTTAAGAACCACAAAGCACGCACCCACCGTAAAAATTAACATAACACCTGGCTCGACGTCTACTGTCGACATGCAAGTTCAGTAGCGATAGTATAATAACTATGCGTGTCTTTGTGGTTTTGAAATTTAAAGTTTAAACCTTGTTGTCCTTTTCGAACGGACGTTTCTTGTTGATTACTGAATTTTATCAGGATGAGTTAATTATGAATATAAGATTTAATAAATGATCATAGCTTTTTTAATTTCGAAAGGAAATCTTATTCGTATGTTATACTTTGCACAGACGTCATTCTAGCCAGAAGTCATGTTATTTATGTTACGAATATAGATAATAAAGGGATTTTTATTGTAATTATCGTTTTTATTACCTTTGTTGCTGAATAATAAACCCAATATTCGTTCACCACACACGATATAAGAATATTAATGATACTTGATGTAGTTTTGTTACTGTAAGTTCAACAAACAACTAATAGCAACAAAACTAACTTGCCTAGTTGTTATTGTTTTCTGAACTTTTGTTAAATACTAAAATGAAAAATTCCTAGACCTACTTTGGCATAAGTATTTTATTTATAAAAACTAAAGTAATTGTAACTAAACTAATAGAATTTTAACTCGATATTAATCCGAGTTATCAGATCTATAACAACATTGATAATTCTATTCTCTTTGGTTGAACCACGAGTGTCAAATTTGACATTTAAATTTAATTTGACATTCGTGGGTTTAATTAACGTGATGAATTGACATTTAGATCCTTTAATTGGTGCCGCCATCTAGTGAAATATTTTTTTCTAGTTTCTTTATTTTTTTTAATACTTCCCCATTGAACCAATAAGTTAGCTCGTCACTAATGTTGACATATAAACCAATCATCGTTCCTTTACACGTAACATAATAAATAATTTATACTTACGATTCAAATAAATTAAAATTAATTTGAAAGTTACATATTATAAAAAATAGAAAAAGATGTCATGTTTATTAATTTTCTATATTCAATTAATTTATATTACATCAATGTCTGAACATCGCTAGTAACTGATTTCAAGAACTAATTTTTTATTTTTAAAAACTTCCTCATTGGGTAATGTCGCTTTAATCTAATGAACATTTTAATGGACGTTTGTGTAACTGGCTGTGAATCTTGTGTCCCCACTTGCTCTTTGGTTTGTTTGTGGTCTGTGGTGAGCATGTGGATGGAACCAGATTGTTTATTTACAAAATTGACGAAGAAAATTATAATTTAAAACAGTGCCTTGCCCTCTCAATTTCTGTAAAATGGTAGAAAAAGTTATTTGTTACCGAATATTGTGAAACTTCGTCCTTTGAAATTTCAATGATGTCGAATCAAGTTGCCCAGTTTGTGGCTGGGCTCAAATCCAGAAATGTTGATGTCCAGATAAAGACAGCCCGCGAACTCTATCATTTCGCGAAAACTGAGTTGCGAGAAGTTCCTCAAGAAGAACTAACTCAGTTTCTAGATGAATTCAATCATCAGATTTTTGAGATGGTTTCCAGCAACGATGTTCATGAAAAGAAAGGCGGTGTATTGGCAATTGGTATGTATCTTGGAACTTATTGCTTTCTTTCTGTAATTTATTTTTGTGCTTTATTTCACCTTAATTGTTTTTAAAGGAAGAACTAATAAATATTATTGGGTACAAAAACATTTGATCTTAAAAATGTAGATACATTATTTACTTATTTATCTGTTCATGTATAACATGTCTCAAGTATAAATATATTATAGGCTGTAGCTTCTACTCAATTTTAATGGCTATTTTTTTTGTCAACCACAATTCTGCCAACTAGGGAATGCAATCTTATGAGATCGGGGCTTGGGTGAGATCTCACTAGTTTATGAATATCAATACCGCGAGATCTCGCCAATTTCGAGACCTTGAGAACTCTTGTGTGTTTTTGTAATTGACATTTTTACAGGTATTTTATGAATTAAACATTGTTTAATTCATAAAATACCTGTTGTAATTTTTTTATCTACTAATTTTAAACAAGCAATTTCTAGATTATAATCTGAATTTATAATCTGATTTTCATGAAATTCATTATGCCACCGTACATAGTAATTTAAATAAAAATCGATTTCATTCTGTTAGTCATCCAGGTACAACACTGTAAGTACTAAACTTTGACATATGTAATCAAATAGGAAAAGAAATAAACCACCAAACTTTTCTGCTAATATCAAACAAAACGGTTTTACTAAACAGTTATATTGTAACAAAACTATAAGCCATCAAAAATTAATAATTTGAAACTCTCGAGATCTCACCCATTTTTTACCAAAATAAATCTTGCTAAAAAAGGCAGTGAGACTCGCAAGATCACGTTTGTATTCCTAATGGCAACTCCATGTAGGAGACCATTACACTGTTTATATACATTCATTTAACCAAAGAATTTTGAATTTCAAGAACTTAAATATTTTATTATATTAAATCAACAAAAGGTGAGCCTTACCACAGACTATTATTAATTTAAAAAACGGTATTTTTAATGAAAAATGGCACCTGGCACTCTGAATTGGGACTCGAGCACATGACCTTTCGCAATCCGGGTCGACTGCTGTGACTGCTGAGTTACCCAGGTCCTAACAGGGCTGACAAATTTTTCAAGCACTTTTTCGCTACTACAGATTGACCTCACTACTTCAAGACCAATGTTAAAGTTTTTATTGATCAACACAGAACAATTTATTTAGGGATTTTACTACTGAGGTATCATTAAATGACTGAAGGACAAACAGCTTTAAATTAAAAGTCAACTATAGATAACAATTTATATTTTATTCATCATATATATATATTATTCATTATCATTGCTAGGAAAATTTTGTACCAGTAAGACAGAACAAAATTTTGTTAATATCCCTGTATTGAGTCGCCCGATAGCGTAGTGGATAAGCGCCGCGACCCGTGATCGTTGTTGTTAAGCAGCTACTGTAAGGCTCGGTCACAGGATGGGTGACCAATAAAATTTATCTTGTGCTTCGGGAGAAAGGCCTGTGCCCCTACACTGGGGATGTAAAAGGACTGATGATGATCTTTGTATTAAGTTTTTTTCGTGTGGTGTTTACTATAAAGAGTTTTTATTATTATTATACATAGCAAATAAACGATTACCATATTATGTTATTATTGAAAGGTTAATTGAGTTAAATGTCATTTTTGGCAATCCTGAGTTATTGCAGTAAAAATTTGCTGATTTCAAAACTTCATCTCACTATCACCAAAAATGTTGCTTAAACAATTCGCCTTCCACTCAATATAATGTTTGCAAACATTTTTATCTAAATCAATATTGCTGAAATGACAATTTTACTTTTTTCAGTATGCTTGATTGGTGGTGACTGTGATACAACAAAAACACGGATAACAAGATTTGCTAACTATTTAAGGAATTTATTGCCCTCATCTGATGTTGGTGTGATGGAACTTGCTGCTAAGACTGTTGGTCGCTTAGCTACAGTGTCTGGTGTTAAGAGAGCTGAGTATGTAGAATTTGAGGTCAAAAGAGCATTTGAATGGTTGTCTGAGGAGAGAAATGAAGGCAGGCGGCATTCAGCTGTACTTTTGTTGAAAGAGTTGGCTATAGCTATGCCGACTTATTTTTATCAACAAGTTTCAGGATTTTTTGATCACATTCTAGTGGCCTTGAAAGACCCTAAGTTACAAATAAGGGAAGCTGCTGCTAAGGCTCTTAGGGCAGGCTTAGTAGTAACTGCACAAAGAGAAACAGCAAAACAGTCAACAGCTAAGCCTCAATGGTATATGCAATGCTATGAAGAAGCCATGCTTTGTTTTGAAGAAATTCCTTTAAAAGAAAAAGGGATAATTAAAGAGGAAAGAGTTCATGGAGGCCTCTTGATACTTAATGAATTGTTAAGATGTTCTAATGCAACTTGGGAAAAGAAGTATACATTTTTGATGCAGAGCTTAGATACACAAAAAGATATTACTGTATCTGATGACATCATTTTTATTAGTACCAAACTACATAGTCCATCAGTCAAGCGTGGATATTTATGTGATGGTTTTAAAACTGAAAATGTCCAGTATCCTGTGCCCATTTATGAATCCGAAGTGTGTCGTAAATTGCTTACTGAAAAATTTGAAAGGATTTGCCATGGTTTGTATATACTTAGTTTTAAAGTTTAATAAAATACTGAATTGAATATATTTGTATGTAATAGTATTATTTCATTTAATATAGAACATTTGGCCACTCGACAGTTATAACTATGAAAAATGAAATACCTTTGGAATGGTCATTTTTGTTTTAAAATATATACCAGTTAATTTTATTTTGGCCAAATTAACCTACGATTTGTATCTCGATTACAAGATATGAAACACTGGCGGCCATGAGAAAGCATTGTGTGACTTCATCTTTCAATAAACTAAACATCAATGTTACAAATGTGTTACAAGTCTCTGTTTATTGATATTGCGTGGCTCAAAATATTACGCGACTGATTTTTTTTCGCAGGACTATTGAATAAAAAAACATTATTTTCTTTATATAATAACACTTTGTAATGAATTTGTCAGTAGTTTAAATATAATCATATCATGAAAGTATTAAAATACTTTTCCTACATTAATAACATGTATGGTAAATCAATCAAAAAGTTTTTATGGCCTACTCCATACACCTTTCAAATTACCTGTGACAAATTCTTAGCAATAAAATTTGATATGAATCAAATATAGTTAAGAAAATATAAGTAGGTATCATTTTCTGCCCTTGTTGCTCCCATGTGGTACTTGTGCTTTAATAATTTTCACTTCTTATCTTTATTTCAAAATGTGTTTTGTGACATAACTCCAAAAAAAAAGTTTGTTCAGTCATCCTCACCACCTCGTCAATATGATAGTTTTTATTAGCCTATTGTGTTATTTCAATTTCTAAATTCCCATTATTCAAATTATAAAAAATATTTGTTTTCCAGATGTTATGGCTCAACGTCATCTTAAAAACCAGGGAGTACCTCAGATTTTACTCATTATAATTCCAAGACTAGCTGCTTTCTGCAAAGAATATTTTTGTAAAAAGTATCTTAATTCAACAATGCATTACTTATTGGTATCACTCCGCAGTCGCGAAAAGGATAAAAACATGGCTTTTACAACTTTAGGGCTCATGGCAGCTGCTATTGAAAATGACATTCATAATTACATCCCCAAAATAATGGAAGTCATTAAACAGGCTTTGCCTTTGAGAGATACTCAGAGCAAGAGGAGGGTATGGATTGACCCTTCAATATTTGCTTGTATTACCTTATTAGGTAGTGCTGTCAAGGATTTAGTAATGAGTGACATAAACGAACTTCTGGAAGCTATGTTTGCAACAGGTTTAAGTCCATCATTGACAATATGCTTAAAAGAGTTGAGCCAAAATCTTCCAACTCTAAGAGAGGAAATATCAAAAGGAATGCTTAATATGCTATCATTAGTCTTAAGAAATAAACCATTTTTACATCCAGGGGTCCCTAGAAACTTAGAGCCACAGACCACAATGAGTCTGGTTATTGAACCTCAAGATACCAGTAGTATTGTATTAGCTTTGAGGACCCTTGGCACATTTCAATTCGAAGGTCAGCATAGCCTTCTCACATTTGTTAGAAGGTGTGCGGATCATTTTTTACAGAGTGATCAACAGGAAATCAGATTAGAAGCTGTCAAAACTTCTGCAAAACTTTTAGCAGATGCGACAATCCGAACCATGTCAACGCCATCAAAAACACTAACTATGCTGACTGCAGAAGTAATTTGCAAGTTGCTAATTGTGTCAGTTACTGATCCAGATTATGAAGTGAGATATTGGGTTTTAGAATCTCTACATGACATTTTTGATGTGCATTTAGCACAAATAGAGAATTTAAGCTTCTTATTTATTGCCATGAATGACGAACATTTAGAAATCCGAGAATTGGCAATTTGCACAATAGGACGCTTAAGTACAGTAAATCCAGCTTATGTTATGCCTGGTTTACGTAAAACCCTTATACAATTTTTGACTGAATTAGAACACTCTGGAATGAGCAGGAATAAAGAACAGGCAGCTAGAATGCTTGATAATTTGATTTTACATGCTCCAAAATTGGTGAAACCTTATATGGAAACTATACTTAATGTTTTGGTTCCTAAATTGAAAGATTCCGATGCTAATCCTGGAGTTGTTATCAATGTTTTAAAAGCTGTAGGCGATCTGGCTGACGTACACGGTGATAACAGCGGTTTAAAAAAATGTTTGCCAGAACTGTTGACAATCCTCCTTGAGTTGTTGTCTGATGCGAGTGCAACAGAAAAAAGAAGTGTGGCATTATGGGCATTTGGTCAATTAATAAGTGCAACTGGAAATGTTGTAACACCGTACACGGAATATCCAAATCTAATGGATGTATTGTTAAATTTCTTAAAAACTGAACAACAGCCTAAAGATCGAAGGGAAACAATACGTGTTCTGGGGCTTTTAGGAGCACTAGATCCCTACAAACATAAAATAACTCGAGGATTTATTGATGGTCAACCTGATTCAAGCTTAGTTCCTGTTGCTGATAGCAAAGCTGAAGAAAATAACTTTGATATGACTACAAGCGAGATGTTAGTTAATATGCCGTCGCCTGTTCTTGACGAGTACTACCCTGCAATTGTCATATCTACGCTAATGCGGATATTGCGAGATCCAACTTTACAGCAACACCACACTAGTGTGGTCCAGGCAGTTACATTTATTTTCCAGTCTCTAGGTATAAAGTGTGTGCCTTATATATCGAGAGTGACCCCAAGTCTACTATATGTTGCACGAGCTACAGACAATAACAATTTTAGAGAATTTTTATTTACCCAACTTGCGAAATTAATAGCCATCGTTAAGCAACATATACGCAATTATTTAGATAAAATATTTGATCTCATCAAAGAATTTTGGACTCCAAATAGTCCATTGCAACATACCTTGATATTACTAGTAGAGCATATAGCTGTAGCTCTGGGTTCAGAGTTTAAAGTTTATATGCCTCAATTGATGCCGCAAATATTGCGCGTACTAGCTCACGACACAAGTAAAGATAGATTTGTGACAGAAAAACTTTTGTATGCTTTACAAAAATTTGAGGATAACCTTGATGACCACATGCATCTTGTCATTCCATCGATCGTTAAATTATTCGATGCAACAGATTGTCCAATAAATGTTGCTAAAGTCGCCATGGAGACTGTGGACTATCTCTCTGACACATTGAACTACAGTGAACTCGTTTCGAGAATAATTCACCCGCTTGTGAGAAGCCTCGACACTTGTCCACCTCTACGATCTACAGCAATGGATACACTGTGCGCCTTAATTGTCCAGCTAGGGCGAAAATATAATGATTTCATACCATTGGTACAAAAAGTGATCACAAAGCATAGGATACAACATGCCAACTATGACTTATTACTTTCTAAATTACAATCGAGCCAAACTTTCTCAATGGATGAATTCTTACAAAGTACGAGACGTAAACCACGGAATAATAATCAAGAGGTAGTGAATTTATAATAATATGTAATTTTTTATGTTCTTAAGTTCTTTTCCTCAAGAAAACGTTGTTTCAGGCTCGCATTTTAGTGTGTGAAACATCTCAATCGATTCGCAAGTTGTGCGTAAATGCACACAATCTGAAGCTCGCGTGGACAGTTAGTAGCCGCGTCTCCAAGGATGATTGGCTCGAGTGGCTGCGCCGTTTCAGCATCGGCCTCCTTACTGAGTCGCATAGCCCTGCACTTAGGTTGGTTTAAATATACATTAATATTATAAAGATAATAAGCTCTAGAACTAATAAGACGATTTGAAACGTCGTTTTTACCATTACAATCTTACATTAGCTATTCCTGAACTTAGGCGATAGAATATTTTCAAATTAGTATAAAAACTTCGATATCTGTACGAAACCGGGGCAGACTGCTAGTAACGGCGCCAATTCTAAATTTAATAAATATTTATAGTATAGATAATAAAATTAAATATATTTATACAGGGCATGTTTGGCTCTCGCTCATAACTACTCGCAGTTACTTCGCGACCTATTTAACGCTGCATTCGTGTCATGTTGGACTGAGCTGGACAACTCGTCGCGAAGTGAACTGTCCAACGCGCTAGAACAGGCTCTTACTGCCCCTGATGCACCAGAACTAGCCCACACTGTTTTGAACCTAGCTGAATTCATGGAGCATTGCGAGAGTGGTACTTTGCCTATTTCAACACATTTACTTGGAGAGAGGGCTATGCATTGCAGGGCTTATGCTAAAGCACTCCATTACAAGGTACAGAAACTTTTATTACATTTTTTTTTAACTTTATTTAACCACTTGTAGATTATTGTTGTATTTGACTTAAAATATGTTTTTCATCACCGCAAATCGAAGTTTAAAATGCTGGTAGTCTTATATTTTTATATATTAAGTTACTAATATAAGCTGTACTAATTTTAATGTGATGCAGGAAGAAGAATTTCGTAACGGCGCCACTTCTCAAGTTGTAGAAGCTTTGATACATATAAATAATAAATTACAACAAAAAGAAGCAGCAGAAGGACTACTCGAAAGAGTAATGGCTCAGCGAGAGGCGGGAGACACCAATTTGAAAGTGCAGATAAGGTGGTATGAGAAACTTCATAATTGGGAGAAAGCTCTTCATCTCTATGAAGAAAAACTATCTGAGGAGGCAGATAATATGGAAGCGTGTATTGGTGAATTACGTTGTTTCGAAGCTCTGGGTGAATGGGTCAAACTTTATGATACGGTTTCAAAGCGATGGTCTGCTATGTCGAACGACGATAAATACAAGGCAGCAAGACTAGCCGCGGCCGCCGCGTGGGGATTGAAGGAATGGGAATCTATGGAGAAATATGTCAACTTTTTACCCGAAAACACACAAGATGGTGCTTTTTACCGAGCAGTTCTCAGCATCCATAACGGAAAATTCGATTTGTCCAAACGATACATTGACCAAGCGCGCACTTTGTTAGATTCTGAACTAACAGCTGTGGCTGGCGAAAGTTACCAAAGAGCATATGGTGCTTTAGTTAATGCTCAGCTGTTGGCTGAATTAGAAGAAGTTATTACGTATAAGTTGGTAGGAGAAAGGAGAGAATGTATACGTCAAGCTTGGTGGACAAGGTTACAGGGTGGGCAGAGGTTAGTTGAGGATTGGCGGAAAATTCTTCAAGTCCGCAGTTTGGTATTAACGCCCCAAGACGACATGGCCACATGGCTTAAGTTCGCTTCGCTGTGCCGAAAGAGTGGAGCGCCACGACAGGCGCATGGGACATTAGTAATGTTATTGGGAACAGACCCCAGTGAGAACAAAGATCTGCCCTTACCTACTCACGAACCTAGACTTACCCTAGCCTATGCTAAGCATTTATGGGTAGCTACCGACAAACAACTGGCATATAATCAACTACAGCGTTACGTCGAGACCGCTGAAGCCGGTGACGCGGAACACTGCCGGCTGTTGGCGCGTTGTCATTTGAAACTCGGCTCTTGGTGTGAATCTTTACTCGGAATCAACAGACATTCTATTCCAGAAATATTAGATAATTATGCTTCAGCTATAGCACTAGCACCCGATTGGTACAAAGCATGGCACGCCTGGGCATATATGAATTTCGAAACTGTTTTGTTCTATAAACACCAGGACACCAGTGTAGCTGACTCACAACTTGTAGAGGTCAAACCTACAGCTGAATGTATTCAGAATCACACAGTTCCAGCTGTCGAGGGATTCTTTAAATCAATCAACCTTTCTCATGGTAGTTCTTTACAAGATACTCTTCGTTTGCTTACCTTGTGGTTTGATTACGGGCATTATCCAGCCGTTCATGAGGCACTAGTAGAAGGAATAAGGACAATCGAAATCAACGTCTGGCTTCAAGTAATACCTCAACTTATTGCCAGAATTGATACACCAAGGGCTCTTGTGGGGAAACTAATTCATTCACTTTTGATCGATATTGGGAAATCACACCCTCAAGCTCTTGTATATCCACTGACGGTAGCTTCTAAATCGTCGTTTGTGGCGCGGAGAAATGCTGCTAATCAGATCTTGAAGTCTATGTGTACCCATTCGAGTAATTTGGTCAATCAAGCGGCAATGATATCTGAGGAACTTATTAGAGTAGCTATACTATGGCATGAGCAATGGCATGAAGCGCTGGAAGAAGCCTCAAGGTTGTATTTCAGTGAACATGATGTAAAAGCAATGTTTAAAACGTTGGAACCCCTACACGCTATGTTGGAAAGAGGACCGCAGACACTTAAAGAAGTATCATTCAGTCAGGCTTACGGGAGAGACCTTAACGATGCACAGGAGTGGTGTAATCGATTCAAGGTAATTTAATAAAGATTATAACATTATGTCTCAATAGGGTATTCTACTCTATTTAAAAGAATACTCGTAACTGTTACTTATATATTTATTTATATAAATAAATAAATTAATATTATAAAGGCGAAAGTTTGTAAGTATGGATGTATGGATGTTTGTTACTCTTTCACGAAAAAACTACTGGACGGATTTGGATAAAACTTTACAGCAATATAGGTTATACATCAGAATAACACATAGGGTACTTTTTACTGGGAAAACTTCTCACTCCCACGGGATACCGACTTCCACGCGGACGAAGTCGCGGGCGTCCACTAGTAAATAAATAAATTAAAATTAACAGTTACGAGTATTATATTAAACAGAGTAAAATAAATTAAAATAAACAGTGACGAGTATTATTTTTATTTCTTATACCATAAAACAAATATTCCACAGAAATAAACACGTTTTCTTCCCTTTAAATCAAAATTTGATACCTGCGGAAACGCTGTCCGTCATATTCATGACGTCGTTTTGATTTGTACACGAAACCGATGCATAGAGTAGACGATTAAAGATGTCAATAAAACAAGAACAATATCATCCAACGATCGATTACGAAATAAAATAATATAAATAAGCTAATAACAGTTTGATTTATTATTAATAAGTAGTTCTTTGTAACTTTGAATCTAACAGCTGTCGCCACAGTGACGTCGTACAATGGCGGGTCGTATTTCAAATCACGTGACACATAGACGAAACATCACGACTTTTAATTTTAAATTAATGAAATAATCGTGCGTTTTTAACACTCAAAATCAGAATCTCTGTTTATTACGGTGTAAATTTTAGTTTTTGTGCAATTTCGTGCCTTATTTTTCACTACCGAAACTACCCTATTAGCAATAAAATAAATAGGAAACTTATTATTTTTTAAATATCTAAAGACGATCAACATTCTGATAACAAGAAACTTTAATTACATAAAGTTTAAATATTTGTAAAAATATATATTTCATGTTTTTGGGTAGATTGCCTGAACATTGAATAAAAATACGCTCTGTAGTATCGAAGAAGTAACAACTGCTTCAAAATTCGTTTGTTAGGTCATGGATACCTGTTAGTGGTTAGAGCAGTTGCAAGCAAGAATGTATTTCAATATAGCGTATGCAATACTGGTAAAATATATTTGCATTTTGTTAGGAGTCGGGTTCTGTACGGGACCTGAACCAGGCGTGGGACCTGTACTACCACGTGTTCCGGCGCATCAGCCGGCAGCTGCCGCAGCTGACGTCACTCGAGCTGCAATACGTGAGCCCGCGGTTGCTGAACTGTCGCGACTTGGAACTCGCGGTGCCCGGCTCCTACGTGCCTGACCAGGACCTCATCCGCATCGCCCACATACAGACCAGCTTACAGGTGATCACCGCTCACTCTTTTAACTCATCTTTATAGTACTAGAGATGCCCAGTTCCTACGTATTAATTTCACAATTATTCTATTAGATATTTACTTTCCATTGTTTAACTTTTTATTATAGTACATTTTCAGCTGACCAGTTTTAGAGATAACCCACATACAAGCTGTTTTTGTCAAATATCGAAGATTAGTATTCATCACTCACATCATCGTGTACTTAAAAACGTTGCAATTAGAGATGAAAATTGCTGCGAAACTCCTTCTCTTAGGAAACTTTCCTGAAAACATCCGGCACTGTCGGAAGTTTAGTTTTATAACTAATATTCTTAGTTTCCTCAAAAATAGATTTTTGGCAAATAATTGTGAATGGTTAACGAAAAATGGATTTCCATAAAATATATAACATTATCATTTAGAATATAACTTAAAACGGAATTTTCCAAAGCAAGTAACACTTAAAAGTTGCTTAGACTAGCCCCGTCTATGATTACGACATTATTATGAGAATTAAAAAAACGCGAAGTGGTATATAGCTACCACTATCATATTAGGGTATAGCCGGCCTACAAGCAACACTTTCATATTCAAGATGAAATCCCACGACAAAATAACAATGAATTTTAAAATTACAGAACCGATCATTCCACTGCCCAATCCTATAGAGTTTATGTTGTCATTATCACTTTCATTTTTTTAACAATCATCACAGCAATCATCATATATTATTTCTCCAGAACCATGCTTCGAGAACACCAGTCTATATTTTACACCAGTTCCAATTTTTTACCCATTTCCACAAAAATTACATTTGCGCATTCACTCCTTTAGCCCCTTCTTGACTATCCAGATGCATGCTACTCTGATCTTACACTCCTTAATAACTTGTAGGGATATGCATATGCTGTCACTTCTCTACTCTATACTGTTCAATCCCATGATACCTCCATATCTTAAATCAAGCTTTAAATTTCTCTCATTTACGCATGATCTCTCTCTTCGCTCTTCTAATAACTATAGATTGTTCATTCCTCAAAATCTCACAAAATTTTATAATCAATCCTTTACAGTACAAGCAATAAAACTGTGGAACTCTCTACCTGAATCTATCAGACGGGTGAAATCGTTAAACTCCTTCAAATCTCGATTGAAATCCCATTTCCTTTCAAACGTTTAGCCTGCTTTTTTATTTTATTTTCTCACTTCTCGCGCTCTGGTCATCACTTATGTTTTTAACATTTTGTTTATCTTTAGATACTTTTTTTGGTGATACGAGTACTTTGTTGTTGCAACCGTTATTTCGTTTTTTTTTTGTATGATTTAAATTGTTATTGGTTTTATGCACAATCTGCCATCTAATGTTTATTTTTTATATCCAATGTAAGGTTGCCTGGACGATATCAGAGATTCATTTGAGTTGTTACTCTTAGGTGATAACATCAAAGCAGAGGCCACGTCGACTCTGCATTCGCGGCTCCAACGGGAAAGATTATATGTTCCTCCTGAAAGGTCACGAGGACTTGAGACAGGACGAGCGCGTGATGCAGCTGTTCGGTCTCGTGAATACTTTACTGCAGGCCGACCCTGATACGTTCCGGCGCGACTTGGCCATACAACGATACGCCGTCATACCGCTCTCGACTAACTCCGGCCTCATTGGCTGGGTACCGCATTGTGATACCTTGCATTCCCTTATCAGAGACTATAGAGAGAAGAGGAAGTGCTTACTCAATATAGAACACAGGATCATGCAACGCATGGCCTCAGATTTGGAGAAACTGATGTTAATGCAAAAGGTATGTGATTTTAACTCGTTCAAACGTATATTTCATTAATTTATCATGTGATGACATTATATACCATTCAGAAGACTGAAGACTGTACTGTTTTCGATTCATTTTAGGTATCCGTTCACAGACGAATACCTAGTCTTTGGAAAATGTGATTCGCGTGAGTGTATAAACAAACAAGTTCGAACTTGTTATCGAGCTGTTTACTGCATCGTTTGTTTAGCTAAAGTAGCAGTCATTTGTATTACACAAGAAGGCAGTTTGGGACTCATATTCTGTCATAGGTATTTTGTATCAGCATTTTGAAATTATTAACTATCGAACCAAATCATTATTAAGTAATAATGTCGAAAAAGTGTAAAAATTGTAACAAGTACCTGTGTAAGATTCCTGGTTATAAAAAAATTATAAAGAATGAAGAAGAAGCTAAAGTGTTTAGTGACTGTTTGAATAAAATCGTAATAGTTAATGATATTTTTTGTGAGAAGTGTCGACTTATCCCATATATTAACAAAAAAGCTTCTACTTCTAAATGTGCAGCATTTAACTTGGCCGAAATAATGGAGGATCAAAATAATCTCTCAGTACAATATGTGAAATCAGCACCTAATATCATCAAAGCAGAAGTAAAATCAAGACATATAAATAGAAATGTCTATCGAATTTACATTCACTATATTTCCGAAAGTAATGACTACAATAGTATTCTTCGTTATTGCTGTGATTGCCCCAATGGCAAACGTACAGTGGGATGCTGTTCTCATGTAGCAGCTATTATTTATTATATATCATATGGATGATATTTGTCCAAAATCGTACGTCCTGCTGAGGTCCTAACTAAGTTATTTGCGACTCAAAGTGTTCCGATTGCAATTAATTACAACAGTGACGATGATTAATATTTTGTTTCTTGTATTTTGATAGACACGTAAAAGTAATAATAATAAGTATTGAACACTGGCTGTTTTTTTTCATTTCTTTTTTAACTATTATCCCATCTTTTAAGACTAGTTACTTATGTTTTAAAACAAGCTGATGTGAAATTTCGAAAAAAAAAACAATGATGTAATGTGAAAACCTTACAATACAGGGGTATACCATAAGACAGAAATCACATATAATTTTTTTTCGTTGTGTTGCACCAACTTTTTTTTCATTTGTCTAGACTTCTTAAAAATATTATGGTTACTTATTTGAATGATTTAGAAACTTTAGTACGTGCGTGCATATTTATATAAAATTAAAGCATATTTACTAGACATTTTGTGATGATTCATACAGGTGGAAGTATTCGAACACGCTCTCGAGCATACCGCTGGCGACGATCTAGCCAAGCTTCTCTGGCTGAAGAGTCCCTCCTCTGAGGTGTGGTTCGAGCGTCGCACCAACTATACGCGCTCGCTGGCCGTCATGAGTATGGTGGGGTATATACTGGGATTGGGCGACAGACATCCCTCAAATATCATGCTCGACAGAGTCACTGGCAAGTTTTTGCACATCGATTTCGGCGACTGCTTCGAAGTCGCCGTGACGAGGGACAAGTTTCCAGAGAAGATACCTTTTAGGCTAACCAGAATGTTGATCAATGCAATGGAGGTATGTTTCGTTATGATTTTTTTTTATATTTCAGTAGACCGGGCTAGTTTTTTTTATGACTACTTGTATAATATCCATGGTAAGTCATTTAAAAATAAAGACTTTATGTGATTTGCACGATTTGCATTGTCATTTTAAACGGATTTTCAGTTTGAATGTTATAGTGTTTATTAATGTAATTATGTTTGACTTTAGAAATAGTATTTTTTAATGCTTTTGTGATTTTTTAAACTATTTGGGCAAACAATGTGTTTTATCCATATTTTTTTAAACTATACCTGTCAACACACAAAAAGGATGTCTCTAAATCGGCTTCTTTACTTAGAATAGTTTAGACTGTAAGGCATTATCCTTAACTTATCATCTCTCTTAGGTGACAGGAATCGAAGGTACTTACCGAAGAACGTGCGAGTCCGTAATGGAAGTGCTTCACCGTCACAAAGATAGCGTGATGGCGGTACTCGAGGCGTTCGTATACGACCCGCTGTTGAACTGGCGGTTGGTGGAAGCTTCTAGACGCGCGGACGATTCGCCGCCCTCGCCCGCCCCCGCCCCCGACCCCCCTGAGACCCATCTTAACAAGCGGGCGTTGGCTATAGTTAACAGAGTTCGCGACAAACTAACCGGCCGGGATTTCCCACATATTGATGAAAATGTCACCGTTCAAAAACAAGTCGAGCTACTTATAGAACAGGCTACCAGTAACGAGAACCTCTGCCAGTGCTACGTTGGCTGGTGTCCGTTCTGGTAAAATAATCTGGCATTGAAAATACTATACCTTCCAAAATTAAAATTGTATCTCATCGTAATGTGACCATCGACAATGAATTTATTGGCTACGTCGTATGGTGTTCTTTGTTAACTTAAACGCAAGTTAATCCTCATCGACCGCGCCGAAGGAGGCGAAAGAAACGAATTATAGGGTTGTTTGTAGTAAAGCATGTGAGTCATCGCACACCAAATTCATATGCGAGTTGTAAACAAACACGTTTTATTCATCTCCTTCGGCTCGGCTTGATCTGATAGAAGCACACGTTAGAGCGTATAAGGATTACCGAAGAATTCAAGAAGGTGCGATACGATAGAGTTTGTATTCTACAGTTGCACGTCGGTTTACTGCAAAAGTTAAGTCAATATTAACTGTTATTCTGGTGTTAGTTAAGTTTTAAATTGAATGAAGTTTATTGTCCTTTGTAGTAAATCTCATGTCCCGCTGTGTTTTTGATAAAACATATTCTGTTAATTTTGTGTTTACACCCAGTATACACTTAGGCTGCTTATATAAAACGTGTAAACATATTTGTATAAAGTGAATGCGAGTTATTGACCTCGGCTGTGCTATAAAAGGCTGTAGATAGACTTCTCAGCTGAAGGTTATAATGTAATACTACCATATAAACGAAGTATTATATGTGAGGAAATTTCACCATAACATTTTTCAGATATGCTGCTAGTAGGAATAGCCTATGTTTATGTAGAATTCTTTATTTTGTTCTTATATAAGTGCGTTGCATACTTGGCAGCTGAATAGATATTATGTTTTACGATGAAATATGTAGAAGTATACATAAGCAAATTTACCTATGATTCACCCATTTAGTACAGTCTACTGCGAAACTGATGCAAAGCAACTGCTGTAATTGCACTACGGCTTCTAGAATCGAAACTGCCTGATCTATAACTGAGTTTTCTAGTACTATCCCTTTCAATACGTAATTAGGGACTACTACGCTGTTTCGTTGTGTCGATAATAACTTAGTATAACTACAAGGGTTTCCTTACTACAGTTTCTACGTAGACCGAACGTTTGACTGTATATTATATACAGTGATCTAGACACTTGATTTTAAGTTTTATTGACTTTAAGATCGATTGTGGAAAGACGTTTTATCTTAAATATTGCGTGTGTGCTATAAAAAATTAACATATATATAAGTGAAAATTATTGCAATAGGTACAACGTTAATTTCAGAGAAGTTTTGTTTCAGTCACGCATTGACCTGTTATTTCGTAGCTTTTGAACCGATAGTTACATTGGCATGATGTGAACAGAAAATCAACAACGGTTATAAATACTATTGGCTAAGGGTGTAGGTTTATGTGAAACTGAACTGATTTGTTTCCTTAATTTCACAAGAGAAGTAGGTACCAATCTCATAAGGGTTGAATAGAGCTTTAGATATAACAGAAGTTAATGTAAGTCACATAATTGGGAAGTGTTTCAATGAAATGACGAATATGGCTTTGACATTTGTTGCATGAACATGAACGACAACACAGTACCTATTCTATTTTTAAGCATTATCTTTTTCTTTCGTTCTAATACAGTATTGAAAAAATATATGATATTTTATTTTTTCAATAATAACAGTTAAAAATATTTTCTAGTTTGAAAATAATATTTATTTACTAATTATATAATTATTTACTAAATTCATGATAACAGTTGTAAATGTAGATTATCAGATATCATATAAGTAATATTTGTATTTCCTACATGATATTTTTTATCAACTTATTAGTTATTTGGACTTAAATATCGATAATCTTTTAAGTCACTTAAGATAAGTAACATTATATTAATTTAGTAATTCAATGTTATGTTCATCGTGATAAGGTGCTTTGGGGTGGTTAACAAAAATAGGGAATTCAGAAATAGTACGTAGGTACTAAAATCTATTATTCTATACTAAAATTTATTTGAAAGTTTATTACTATATTTGATATTTTATTATTGTTAAAGTGGAAAATATTGCCCAATCTGGTAATTCAATTTTGTCGGATTATCGATGTTTTTGTAATCAGCCCAAAGATTATACTATATTATATATTATTGATTATTCTATAATCAAAATGGAAACAAAAACTAGTCAACAAAAACAGACGTCAAGCATTTATAATTTTTTACAAAATAATTCTAAAGATTCATAGCATGTATGACGTTTGGTTGAGATAATCATATTGTTTGTATAATAATTGTGGGAGTTCCTATATAATTGATTTGCGAAATGTGAATTTTAAGACGTGATTGTAACTGCTACGGTTCTATATACCCTAATACAATAACAAAAATAATGGTTTACACTGTTAAAGTTGTAGATTTTCATTAGACAACATATGGACCGAAAACACTTAGTAGTATATCAATAAATATGATGGTAAATTAATCTCTTAAATGCAAGGAAAATCGTAAAGTAGTTATTTAAATATTTACCTGAGATGAGCGAACTGTAATCGGATTAATAATTATTGATGACATCGCACTAATGTAACTTCATTCGAGATTGAAAATTACACATTACATACGTAATTTTAAATAATTATGAAAACGTAAACTATTTATAATTACTTTACATTACTTATATATAATTTCAATCGAGAATAAAATTAACATATAATTGATCTGATCGCATTTTGCTGATGTCAAGAGGTTACATAAAACGAGTTAACGCATTCTTATTATAATATTTGTATTGTTATAGTCGTTTATGAAATGGTTATTCCCGTTCTGGAAATGGAATAGTGGTGTGGCCGCGACGTATGATAGCATCTTTAATCATTAGTCAATTTTTTAAACTTCTGCAGATTAATTCTGTGCTGTGCACTATTGGATTATATTCGAAATGACTGATGGATTACTAAACTATATGTACTATCACCGTTTTATGTATAAAAAACTACGTAATTACTCCTGTCATCTCTGTTTTCAAATTCAGATAGTTACATATTAAAAAAATTATTGGGTATAAGGTTTTTGGTGAAAACGAAACTCGGTTTTTTATTTATCTTAAAGCAAAATTCATTAGTTTCAAGTTCTTTAAGATAAAAGATCAAATACAACAGTTTTTGTTTATTTTTGAAAATAATTTATTAAATTATATATTAATTATTCTGTTCCCATAGCAATGGACGTAAAAACTTGGATCTTTGTTGGTAAGAAAGTGATATTTAACGTTCTTCCTTTTATTGATTGTTAAAGTGAGTTAAAATCGATTTCATCCCAAACTGTTTTCTTATTTACCACTTACAAAATTATACTGATTTCAATGTACCTCTTAAGGTTACATAGATATGTATGTAAAAACGTTAAGATTAGACGAAAGCCCCCGTCGAGTCTCCCTTTGATCTCTGGAGACCACGCGTATCACTTCGGCAATCATTTAAAACAAAACATTTTTAAGTCAATAAAAATGAAGAAATACATTAAGTATATTTTTTTTTGGTTGTGTTATAGTCATATAAGAGTTTAGTATATTTTTTAAAATTACCAAATGAATACCTTATTATTTATATATTAATAAACGTACGGACGTTATCGGATCTATTATAGACATGCGACCTCCTTATATAAAACTGTTCATTTTGTGCAATATGCTAGTAGGTTTGTTTATCAGCAACTGGTTTTACGTATCCATTAATCCTTGAAACACGTCTGTTACTATATTATTATAGTAATAAGTTATTCATTATGCATTTGCATTTGTTTATAAATGTTTAATCATTTGAAAATGATTATTTCATTATACGTGTAATAATAATAAGAATCCAATTATAATGGAATATTAATTAAGTTTACGCTTTAAGGAAAACTGAAAAATAAATTGATCGCCAATGCAATTTTTTATGTTTTATTACTTATTAATCTCCTTTTCTCCGCTGGCGTGAGTTAGCTGAAATAATATTTATAAACATCTCTTGAATACGATGTCCAACTATCGTTGCTTTGTAACGTAAGCGCTAAGTGATCTGATACGTAAATGAAATTAAAAAAATTGCCATTAATAATATTCTAAACGCCCTTGCACTATGTGTCGAAATGCGCTTGTGACCTTCTATTGCGGCAATGAAACACTTCTCTATGCTATGTACAACTTTCTCTCTTTAATATTTTATGAGTGTGTAGCCTTTGACTACCATATTTATTAAATCAGGAAATTAATCCCAAAATAAAGGATTAGGTTTAAATATAATAATATAATATTCCAAGCGATTAAGTAGTGCTTATTAGTGCTCCTAAAATATGCAGACAGAAGCTGAAAAATTGCCCCTTTACAAATGTGCCTAATTTTTTAACAAAGTTTTATTTGACAGTCTGCGTAAATAACTATGAAATAAATTAAATGTGGTCACTGGGTGTAAGAAACGTTTTTTTTTTCAATATATAAGTGTATAAATCAATAAGATGCAACGTTGCGTTGTAACAATTTAAATGTGTATTAATCTTTAGTTTTGTGTACAGAAGTTATTTACAATAACAAAGGACATATTCAATCATGGGGGCTAGTATCTAATCAACGGCCGTTTACGGTAATCAGTAAGCCGGCGACCGAGGCAAAGCGTACACGCATTTGGCTGTCCGCCCGAGACGCAACACGCGAGAGTTATTACGCGCGCCGGAACTATGGATCATTTCCAAGTTGTTGACTTCAGTTCATTGAGTGAGGGCACGTTTGTAATAAAATTGTTATATATATTTGAATGAATAATCCATAGTAGCAGTTATTTTGTTACATAACAAAATTTTTTTAATTGCACCTTGTTTTTACCTACTATAATAAGTTTTATTCTTGATATAAATCACTCTATAATTTCAGTGGTTAATTTATTATTAATGTATAATTGTAAATTACTTCACAATAAAGAAATTATTCAGGTAAATTATTTTTTATTCCAGGCAGTGAAATACAAAGTTTAATTAAAGATGCCGTCCAAGTAAGAGAAAGGGCATACTGTCCGTATTCAAATTTTGCTGTTGGGGCTGCAATACTAACAGAGAACGACTCAAAGGTTTTCACTGGTTGTAACGTAGAAAATGCTGCCTTTTCACCTAGCATATGCGCAGAACGGTCAGCATTATCCAAAGCAGTGTCCGAGGGATACCTAAAATTCAAAACTGTAGCTGTGGTTGCGTACCAGAAGCAATTCACTGCACCGTGCGGAGTTTGCAGACAAACACTATTCGAGTTTCGCGGAACAAACGGGGACACTGATATATACTTGTGCAGACCGACTATGGACAAAGTGCTGTGCACCAAGCTTTCGCAACTTCTGCCGTTATCGTATGTAAGCTTCACAGAGGATAGTATCAAGACGTAGATGCGGCTTTTGAATTATAGATTTATTAATTTAAAAAACACAACCTTTACGTGGTCATATAATTTCGCTACAAAAAAACATTAGTACGGCCATTTAGACTTTTCGGTATGCAATACTTGCTATCAGTGTCCTCATATAAAGCAGAGTCAGAGTTTATAGTAGAAGCAAAACTATACTGAGCAAAACACTGGATTCTGGCGAAATCCAAAAGGGAAACGCCAGTAATAATTAAAAAGAAAAAGAATTAATGACGTGCATTAAAAAGCCAGGTTTATCGTTACAAACACTGTATAGCACACTTTTAAAGTACAAGGGCCCAACTATCATAAAGTTTTACAATTAAAACCTTTTTTTGTATATACATTAAAACAAATTACGTGTAGCTTTCATAAGCTTCAGATAAATACATTTATAAAATATACCACTTTCAAACTATAAATAAAAGACACAATAACGATTAAAATCAAACAATTTGTAAATAATTATAAATCAATTTATTGAGTCAGTGTATTTACACATTCATACTTAACTGTATAAATTTATAGCATAGTCACTTTTATTTACAATGTTTACAAAATAGTAAGTGACATTAAAAGCGCTATTTAAATCATTAGTAGAGATCGCTTACATAAAGGGGTGGATTTTGCACTGTATTTCATATTTGAAAAAATTTGATGTTATAGTTGGTATTGAAACAATATTGTTACTGGAAATATTATTGGAAATAACATAGATATTACTCTTGACATCGGAAGTAGTAAACATTATGGATATATATAGTGCGTATGGTATCTAAATAAATATATTTTAGCAAATAACTCTTTTAATATGATAAGCCCGTAACATAACAATCCGATAAATAAATGCAACAATCTTAAAACATAATAGAAGAGGTAGAAATAAGTTGCGATGGTGATCTTAATAATAAAACAATATATATGCGGTTATTTTGAACGCACGCAGGGCACGCAAAGGATTAAACTGATTTGCCGATTCCATACGCCCACCGTATTCGTATGTTTACCTATACGCAAACAAATAGATATTTCCTTTATCTTTCGCACACTTCTTCATATTGCCGCAACCGACAGAACACGGCGGTGTTTGTAGCTTTTCTAAGCCCGTCGATGGTGAAATTATCGGGATAATTTAGAATTTGATTATGATTCAGACTTTTGTGTAGGTTTTACACATGTTTTGAGTATTTAGAAATAGCTATGTTAAAAGGATTTTATGTATATTTTATTTATTAAAAAAAAAAATCAGAAACATTCAAAAATATCGATTACTTAAGTATCGATTCTTCAGTTGTATTATTCCTTTAATGCTGCGATTGTCACAGTGCTATACAAACTCAAATAAAGCTAATACAAATTTAAATCCGTCGCGTGCCGTTGCTTCCTTGAGTACCAAGTAGACGTTCACCATAATATGTCATCGCTACATTACACAAAACACTCCAAAATGACGACCTTCAAAAAAGTACAACATACAAAACAAACAATCAATGACAAATACTGAGGTCTAATCATAAATAAAATTGCAACAAGGAAGCCATATGACTGTTAATAGGTTAACATTACAAAAATTACCTATTCCATAATAATACATACACGTAATACTAATACTAAATTAAAAAAGTGATAATTCCCACAGTTGAAAAATGCCGTCAGGTGAGACCCTAATATAAAGTTTGATAATAGAGATGAAAATCTTTTTTGATAAATAACCCGTCTTGTCTGCAATTTTATCATCTAAGAAATTATCGAAAAACAAATTGTTATACATTATAATGAACATTGGACAACAACAGAAATATAAGATATAACATCATGTACGCAAGTCTCGTTTATTTACATAACACAATCAGTACAAACAATTACTAAGATTTAAAGAAGTAATTATGTCGAAGTCCCGTTAATTTCACTTATTTTTTTAAGGTCACTATAAATCAAGATAAGATATCATATCTTACTTTGATAGAATAATTACATAGTAACAAAGCCATCTCCGTCCCGTGAATGTACATAAAAAAAATACATTTATGAATGTAAAATTTCTTTTCGGAGAATGCCTTTAAACAATAACGGATTAATTTAAGCATCGTTATGATGACAAAGCAAAGAAACTCTATATTTTTCTTTGTATCAATTTCATATCTACGCAGAAAAATAAATAGTTAATTTGGAAAACTTCGAAATTTTATAGCTACCACGATCGTTTCGTTGTGCCAGACATAAACGCTATCGGGATTTGCAAAGCGGTTAATTAAGAAGTTAAATTACCAATATGGACACCAGCCGATGTAACACTGACATAGATTCTCATTGCTGGTGGCCTGTTTGATGAGTAAATCTACCTGTTTTGGTACGCTGACAACGGCTTCGGTGTGGGGGAAATCTCTGCCGGTGAGTTTGTCTCGTATCCTGTTGAGGATGGCGAGTGCTCGCTTATTGAGGTTAGGTTCCGGCAGCGGTTCCAGTGATTCGCAACGGACATTCCGACTACGGCTTGGTAGAGTGTACGAGGAGTCTATATCGGATGAGAACGTGGACGCGGTGAGCGACCGTGCCTCTACTTCCACCAACCGCCAGTTGAGCAATGGGTCGTGTACGAAAGCTTCCAGTACAGCCATTACGCTGTCTCTATGTTTGTGTAGCACATGCATCACAGATTCGCAAGTGAATCGGTACGTACCCTCGATGCCAGTCACCTTGAGAAAAATATATACAGATGTAGAGGTGCAGTTTCGTTTGTTAAACAAATACAAATTTTCAATTAGGTATTTATTATTAACTAGCTGTTTTCTAGCGACTTCGCCCGCGTAAATTATAGCCTATGTCAATCGTGTATGATATAGCTTCCAGTAGGTGAAAGAATTTTCAAAATATGTCCAATACCTTCGGGGTTTTCTCGATGCAAACAATCAAGTCTTTCCTCTTTATAATATTAGTATAGATATCTTACTAAATTTGTGTGAAGTTTTAACAATATAAAGTTAAAAATAGATTGAAAAAAAAATACCTGAAAAAGGCCAAATTTCTGTATCTGTGACTACAGTCACTCAGTCACACAAACTAGATATTATTCACTATGTTATTAAGGTATTTAAGACCTAGCCTAGTGCACGTGATGATGAGATTAATTAATAAAGGCGCACATTTCGGGGTCTTCATAAAGATTCAAGGTAATTGACGCCATTGAGGATAGGAACCAAGTTTAATTTAGAAGAGTAATAAAAAAGTAGGTACTTGTGCCACGGCTTTGCCCGTGTAAATTATAGGCCACCCACGTATCATAAACGGGTGACATATATGTAATGGTAGCTTCACGTAAGTAAAGGAATTTTTAAAATCGGTCCAATAATTTTGTAGCATATTAAATGTAAACAAGCAATCAAATCTTACCTCTTCCTAATATTAGTCTTATGGATAAATACAGTTAATATGAAAAGGATGGATAACTTAGCGTCATAGTTAACACTTAGTTTCCATTAAAATAATTCATGCATATTGACATAAAGTTACAGATGAATTAATATATATTACCTCCATCGCATTAATTAGCATCCTCGTTAATCTAAACGGTATCTTCTCTGGCAATTTCTCCCTCGTCTGGGTGACTTCGAAGCAATCACCGAAGTCAATATGCAACACTTTCCCTGTAACGCGGTGCAGCATGATATTTGAGGGATGTCTGTCGCCCAATCCCAGTATATACCCCACCATACTCATGACGGCCAGCGAGCGCGTATAGTTGGTGCGACGCTCGAACCATACCTCCGCAGACGGACTCTTCAACCACAGAAGCCGGGCTAAATCGTTCCCTGGCGTTTGTGATAGGGTATACTCGAATATTTCCACCTGACAGACAGAGTTTTAAGTAAGATATAAGTTCTCAATGCGGAAATAAATGATTAATAACTGTGGAATAGCCTCCCTGACCCCATCAGAAGATCTCCCAATTAATTTATTTTTTATAGTTGTATGCTTATATATATATATTTATATGTTTTTCGTCAGTTAGTTTCTTGTTTTTGTCTACGTATAGTATTTTTTTTCTTTATGCCGCCTTCGCGTTTATCATTTTTACTTAAGGTTGATTGCGAGAGAATGCCATACTCTTTACAATAAAGAAATGGTATAAAAGGTCAATAAAGTTTAATAAATTAATAAAAAAAATTATTAATAGTATCACTTTCACGGATTATGCAATCCGTGAAATATTATCCATCATCATCAGCCCTTTTTACGTCTCCACTGCAGGGGCTCAGGCCTTCCTTATGGATGGTTAAGGAGGATAGGCCATGACCCTCCACGCTGGCCCAAAGCGGATTAGAGGGTATTAACGACTGCAAATGCAGCCGGGACCAACGGCTTAACGTGCCTTCCGAAGCACGGAGTAGCTCGATATAATAATTTTTTGGTCACCCACCCCGTGACCGACCCTTGCGAAAGTTGCTCAACGACAACGATCGTGGGCCGCGGCGCTTATCCACTACGCCACTGAGCTACTCTAATAATACTAATATTACCCACAGCACAGTTTGACTTTAATTTTCGGGGTTTGATAGTTTACAGACGTTGAATAACCGTTTTAATTAACACTCATTATATTAATTTGGTGGTCTTCACATATTTATAGTTCGAGGAGTGATTCAGATATTTTGAAACTATATTATATACATTGTAATGATGACAAAAGTAAAAACTATTACTCCGTAATTGAACCTTCGTTTCCCGAGTAAGTTTTAAGAAAATTAACACACTCCACGTGATATAATCTTATTTCACCAGAGCAGGTAGAGTAAGATATCAATTTGGTTTAAACTTATTTTTTTATTATAATAGAATGATAATAATTGCAATTATTTTTATAGAATGATTTCAGATGAAAAAAACAGAACTATAGTCTTTTTGTAGAAACGGTATGATAAAACCCCTGACAATTAAGGAAATGCTTCTTAAGCCCAGTTTTAAAAGCAAACTTAGACTTAGCCTGTCTAATTGGTGGTGGTAAATTGTTCCAACATTTTGTTGCCAAATACCGAAAGCTACCACGAAATGCTGCATTTTTTGGCCGGGGCAAGACGAGTTTCCAAGAGGCACCTCGAGACTTCAAGTATGACCTAGAATTAGCCCAAATCAATTTATCTGCCAAATATTCCGGAACCTTATTAGATACTACATCGAATAGCAGACTCGCAAGATGTAAATTACATCTGGCTTCCATCCTTAACAAATTGGCCCTATTGAGAAAAGGTGTGATATGTGTTCTTGGAGGGACTGTAAAACAGAACCTAGCACAGGCATTCTGTATTCGCTGTAAAACCCTTTTGGTGCGCTCAAAAAGACATGGACCGAAAACGGGAAGACAATAGTTAACCTTTGAAAGAACAAGTGCCTCACACAATTTTATTCTAAGCTGCTCATTCAAATCATTCCCATCTCGGTACTTCCTAATAACACTTTAAAAACTACGATATTGTCGCCACATGACTTATGTCGGGGCTTTTCATTGTTCAATTGTGCGTTGGCTATGTCTACTCATGTCACGAGTACGTACCAACAGTCAAGCGTTCTAAATAACATTGAGTTTGAGTTATATTGTATTGTACACACTGACAATTAGGTATTTTTTAATTATAAAACTTTAAAACACGACAGCCAATCAATTTATAAGTATGCAAACATTATCAATATTTACTTCCTTATATTTCATTCAAATGATGGGACAATAAAGTTGCACATTATCAGATAGTTATCAGTCCGGTACAATTGCGTAACAACATACACGTTGCTATCGTAAAACATATAAATACGAATATGACTGCTACACTTATCATATCAATATAACATCGGATTTTATATATAATCTTCACACTTGAAGTGGAGAGCCTTGTGGAAGTTGCACATATTTTTTGCAATCAAATGGTTGAAATAGCAGTTTAATTGAGCACCTTTAATTGAACTATACCATTCAATCACAGACCTTGCTCGAAAATATAAAACGTGCGCAAACGGTAGATACTTTCAAAAATCTAGTAAAGGAGCACTATCTGTCATTATGAACTTTTACATTATATCCAGTTATAGTATGTAGGATATTTATAGCTATAGTATGTATGATAATTATGTACTCGTATGTATGTTTATATCATGTACATTTATGACACCAGAGACTACCTGATTTAGATTTAAATCAAATTTTCCAAACGGTAACGGTTGCCTGGAAAAAATTGCTTCTTAGCGATAAGGCCGCCGATTATACTATTTGTTTTATATTATTGTTACCTATAATTGGTGTTTTTTGTACAATAAAGAATTATTCTATTCTTCTTTTGTAGTAGATTTGTCCCTACCTTAGCGACAGTTTCAATTTGCCGACAGCTGTTGCTGTTTGTCCATTAGGAGTTTCATTACCGTAAAAAACATTTGAGCAGCAATAAACAGTATTGATCGATTTTTCTATTTATCTTAAAAGAAAAATCCTTAAAAAAGTTAACGTCTCAGGTTCGTACCAAACACTATCAGTGTTATTAATAAACAAGGTTTTAGCGTTAATGTAAATATACGCTAAGATTGCGCTTAGTGATAGTCAAAATTCATATTATTATACAGAGACTAGCAAAGGTTAACCTAGTACGAGGTTCTACGGGAGTAATATTTACTCCTAGTTTGCTTATTCTATGTATAATATTAATTTGGACTAGTACTAAAACTGAAATTTTAACGTAAAATTAGAGTGACGAAAAACCTTGTTTATTAATAGCACTGTATAAGTTTTCATTTTGATTTAAAAGTAAAGGTATACAGTTTGAATAGAAATTGCATTTCATTTCATTTCATTTCACTGCGTGATAATGAAATACGCTATCACAGCAGCTTTTAATTACTAATCGTTTAAAATCATAATACAATTTAAATTGCGGTAAAAACATATTAAGCATACTACATAAAAAAGAAACGGAGTCTCCATATTATTTTAAAAACATTTCGGACACCTTGGATTAACGAAAGAATCGTCAAATGAATAAAGTAATACCCTAAAAATATATATATATTCAAAATATTTCATTACACGTGGCCGAACATCAACTAACTGATGTGTATCAATAAACCTTTGTCGTCTACGGTTAACTCGCGAATTGGTTGCGACTTGTGATACATAATAACGCTAAGAGAAAGCACAGAATTAATAAATAATAACAACTCACCTTATGCTTCAACATTAAATTCTGGTAATCGGAGGCCATTCGTAGCATTATCTGTTGTTCCGTATTCAAAGCCATCTTATTGGTCTTCTTGTCTCGGTAGTCGCTGATGAGATTGTAAAGTGTATCGCACTGAGGGACCCAGCCTATGAGACCGGAATTCGGTGAAAGAGGTATGACAGCGTATCTTTGTATGGCCAGGTCGTGTCTATACGTGTTCGTGTCAGTCTGCAGCAATGTGTTTACGAGACCGAACAGCTGCATCACGCGCTCGTCCTGCCTCAAGTCCTCGTGACCTTTCAGCAGGAACATATACTGTTTACCATCCGATCCGTGTATGGTGAGACGACGGGGGCGTTGCTTCGACTTAATCACCTGAAATGTATCTTATATTTTGTCCAATCTAAGATTTCAATTTTGACACATGAAAACTGCAACGGATAATGTACAAGTTACACCTTCAGGTTACGTAGGGTAATTTTACAAAGTGCCACTGCATTCAATTTCAAATGTATCTAACAATAGATTAAGGCTTTAAATTTATTGTTGAGAAAGTTGGTCTTTTGTCATAATCAACTCGTTAGATTTCTACAAAATGACATCATGGAAAGCGTTTCTCACTTAATGTTACTATTAATTAAAAATATATCGGCGAAATTTTATTTTTGGATTATATTTGTTGGACAGTTAAGCAACGTCATTTAGCGGTCGACCGAGGGGCTATTCAGATGTAATTGATACCAGCTTTATGTAAATCGTATGCGCGTCTGACTAATAAATATCGAGTACAGGAATCAGGAGTGCGCATTATGGTAAAGAGAAACCGAGATTTCATCTATCTACGAATAACTTAAGTGATAAAACAATTTGTCTACTTGCCATTGTCTTGCAGAGTTGCAAATATTAATATGGAACTATAGTGACAAAATAATGTGATTTGTCTTAAAGTAATTGATGTGACGGGAATAATAAAAATTGTAAAAATCATTGTAAGACGTTCATATCAAAATCACGTAATAGAAAACGACGCTCGTGATATGCGATGTCACAACTTGCTGTCACTTTCAGGGTTAAAACTAATCATATCAATAATTTTTACATTTTTGGTACCTAGTTATCTCATTTTTGGTAAATCAGTGACTTGTGATGTGAATGTACAGTCAACAGCATGTCCAGTTGTACAAAACTATCACAGTTCTTAAACCTTGCTATACTGATGCTAGCTATAAAAATAGGCAGAAGTCAGAAAGACGTATTGTGGTAACCCAACGTCCTGCTGATATGTTGTGCGTTATATTCAACTAAATAAAATCCACACATCGTTTATAATTACAATAACTGGTATAGTGATTTACCTGTAGATGGCTATGAATATGCGAAATTCTGATGACCTTTTCATTGGGCACATAGGAACCGGGCACAGCGAGTTCAAAGTCTCTGCAATTGTGGAGCCGTCGGCTCACATAACGTAACTCCAGTGACGTCAGCGAACGGAACTGTGCCATAATACGCCTGAGTACGTGATAGTAGAGCTCCCATGCTTCGTTCAAGTACCTATCTTCACCTGTTGCCTGGTGCAAAAAAAACATTCGTTAATTAATTTTAAATAAAAAACTTCACGATTGTCTGAAGAAAATATATATATTTTGATTTGGAATATAATTTGCGGGAAAATAATATACTGGGAGGAACAAAATGACCGACACAGCCGAAAGTTTCAAGTTAGGTTACATGCAAACGTTCACTTTATTTGACAAATATTTAAAAATAGAGGAGGTGTAAAAATGGAGTAAAAATTTTAAATTTCTAAGTGTTAACAGCCCTATAACGCGCATGCGCAATATCGATTGTGTGCAGATTACAACGAACCGCGAAATACATTAATTTAATTATTTACCGATAGTCGATGCTGAAAATGTCCATTTCTTCTCTGAAGACTGAGCTAAGCACGCTCTTTTCAATGGCGGTGCATGCACGCGGAAAACACATCACATTTCACGCAAAACTAAACACAATCTTCACTAAACTAAACTTAACACTCAAGACGAACACTCTAGTATCTTATTAACAAAAATTCAATTAAAAATGCACTAGAACAAAACAAAAATCGACAAAAAAGACGCTTCGCAGCGGTGCGTCGGCGGCGATGCGCAACAACACTCCAGCGCCAAAGGTCGACGGCGACTGATCGGCCGGAAAATATCGACAGAATAATGAAGCCGCCTGGCGGCTGGCGGGCGAGTGGGGCTTTGATATCGAGGGACGAACTCGGTTCACAGTTTTTTCGTCTTTTGATATCACGCATTTTTAATGTTCTTTTTAAATGCTTTTTTAATAACAAATTCCTCAATGATTTTAAAACAAAATTCATTTGTGTTAATGATGAATCGCTGGAAGATTTGTGAGTTTATCGAGTTTAATTAACGATCCCGTTGTTAAAGGAGTATTACCCCATTCAAACATTTTTTTTGGAGAATTGCTCTTTTAAAATAACGTAGGTTAATGTTAGACTGATCTCTCTACAATAAGTTAGGAAATTTTACACTCGGTTTCTTAATTGAGAATTAAGAAACCAATAAAGAAAGAAAAGTTAAACGTCTCATACTAACATCACTTAGTTTTCGTTTCCGATTTTAGTTTTTTGATGATCAGTTGATAACAGTTTGATAAAACTAAGACTATTTGACTTGTGAAATTAAAAAAACTTAGGTTATTGAGAATAAGCAGTAGATATTTTCTACTTTTTTCAAATCAGAAACCCGCTGTTAGTCTGTAAATCGATTTAAGCATTTTGACTGCCTTGTTTATTGATTGTGTGGTAGAATTTGCATGAAAGCAGTCTTATAAATCACAAACTAGTTTATTTCGTTTTTAGAAATGAAGAAGTCAATGACCGATTTAAAACTTTTCCTTAGTACGTCCCAAAAACAGCTGACTCATGGTTGAAAACACTCATTTTTTTTTCAAATATTTTGTAATTTAATATCTCCGAAACTATTTGACCTAGACTTATAATTTTTTTTTAAATCATATTAAAGACAAATAGTACTCTCCAGGAACCTCGGGAGTGTCGGTCGTTCTGTTCCACTGAGTAAAATCCAGTTCTATGTATAATGAATTTAGTTATATTTCGTAAAAAAATCTATACAAAAAAATCTATAAATACATTCTTTCAGCTGTTTCGGCGCATTTCATTCAGAATCAATTACATTTAGTTTATCATTACATTTGAAACTTTTACTATACAGTTTGCAGTTCCGATTGGGACTTAGAATGCCAATAAAAGTACTGTTCAACAGATACGTACCTTGTACAATTCACTCCATCGTTGTGCCTCTTTGAGATCTCTACCATACATTTGGAGAAACGAGATTTCCTTCAATGTTTCCGGTGGACGATCTAGCATTACGTGCATTTTATCTAAAGTTCTAAACATACCACGGAAATCCTTCTCTGTAGCATAGAATCTAAAATTAAAATTATTACAATGTTTAGTAGTATATTACATCTTTAATGTTATATTTTACTATGTTGTACGATATAAAAAATACCTAGATGCTTCGTCTATTGCTATGATCACCTGGTCGTGCCATAGAATAGCCACTTTAATCAGTTCCTCGGAAATAATGGCGGCTTCATTAACCAGATTCTGCGAGTGTGTACACATCGTCTTAAGAATATAACTTGCAGCATTTTTGCGAGTTACAAATGAAGACTTCATTGCTACTGTTAGGGGATATACTAACGCTTGCGGATGTAACTTGCTGATGTCTATAAGTAAAATATGTACCAATTTTGCCACAAGGCTTCTTGGAGAGTCTATCCTAGCTATTAGCTGAGGTATCACTTGAAGCCATATTTTAATATCTATTTGCCTTATGCCTTCAAATAAAGCATCGTATATTGCTGTGTTATGACCGTAATCGAACCATAAGGTTAACAAGCGTAACGTATCTTGTAGAGCACTGCCGTTTGATAGGCTGATGGACTTGAAAAATCCTTCTATTGCTGGAATCGTATGAGTGTTGATGAAGTCTGGTCTTGACACTTTTTTTTCAGTAGAACTGCCAGCTGTACTACTTTCAGAGACATTGTCTTGCTGTTTGTAATATAAAACTGTTTCAAAGTTCATACACGCCCAGGCATGGCATGCTTTATACCAATCTGGAGCTAAATTGGTAGCCGCGGCATAATTTCTAAGAATCTCTGGGATAGATAACTCATTGATCTCCTGAAGAGATTCACACCAAGAGCCTAATTTTAAATGGCAGCGGGCTAAGAGTCTACTCTGTTCTTCGTTATCAGGTTCTGTGTTATCGACAAATCTCTGTAAGACGTCGTAAGCCAAGCGCTTATTACCTGCATCCCAAAGATTTTTACTATATGCTAAAACGACTCTAGGTTCTTGGACACGTAATAATATATCGAGGTTATTGACCGGATCGCAGCCTAATATCGAAAGTACAATCTTATGCGCCTCATTGAAAGATCCTGTTTTTCGACACAATGAAACATATTTTAACCACGATTGAAAATCTTCACGAGGAGACAAGACCAATCCGCGTATTTGCAACATCTTTCTCCAATCTTCCATTACACGTTGGCCTCCTTGGAGCCTCAACCACCAACTTTTCCTTATTATACTTCTTCTCTCTTCAACTAATTTATAAGTAACAACTTCTTCCAACTCTGTCAAAAATTGGGCGTTTACTATAGCCCCATAAGCCCGCTGATAACTCTCACCTACCACGGCCATCAGTTCAGTATCAAGAATACCTCGTGCAGAATCAATGTAGTGTCTCGATTCTGCCCAGTGGCCTTCGTGGATAGCGAGTACTGCTCGATAGAATGCACCTTCATGGGAATCTTCAGATATGAAATCGACATATTTTCTCATGGAATCCCATTCTTGCAAGCCCCACGAGGCGGCAGCGGCTAACTTGGCTGACTTGGTTCTCATTTCAATAGTCATGTTATGCCACTGGTCGGCGGAAACGTCATGTAACTTTTGCCATTCCCCCATTGCATCGAGGCATCTCAAAAGACCTAGTTTAGACTCTTCATCTTGAGGTTCTGTTTCAAGTTTTTTATTGTATAAATCTCGTGCTTGTTCCCAATTGTGAAGCTTTTCATACCATCGAACGTGAACGTTTAATGAGCAATTGCCTTCCTTCTGCTGAGTTATCACCTTCTCCAAAAGACCACTAGCTGCTTCTCTTTGTTGAAGTTTATTATTTATATGAATAAGAGCTTCCACTACTTGAGTAGATGTATATCGCCGGTATTCTTCTTCCTAAAAACAATGTTGTCACAAAATAATCATAGTTCAACAATAAATCAGTAAAGGTTCATAACGTGATAAAGATTAAAATAGAAATAACAATGACATATATACATACCTTATAATAGAGAGCTTTTGCATAAGCTCTACAAGTAACAGCCGTATCTCCTAGTAATTTGATTGAGATAGGAAGTGCTCCCTTTTCACAATGTTCCATAAATTCAGCCAGGTTCAACACAGTGAGGGCCAACTCAGGCGAATCGGGTACGGTCAATGCTCTCTCTAGCGCACTGACTACCTCTTTGCGAGCTCTTTCATCTAATTCAGTCCAACACGACATAAACGCTAGATTAAATAAATCTCGCGCTAGCTGAGGATAATGTTGAGCGAGAGATGAACAGGCTCTGTAAGTAGTTAAAATTATAAACTTATATTTCAATACATGACATATATTATAGCTAAACTATAACTTGTTTACCTTAGTGCTGGACTGTTAGATTCAGTTAGAAAACCGATACTCAGATGACGTAACCATTCCAACCAATCATCTTTGGAGATTATATTGCTTGTTGACCAGCACTTGCGAAGATTGTTTACATTCACTGTTAGTTTCTGAATGCCTTGCATGTCTCCAGCATTTGTTAGCATCTGTGAAGGTTTCATTAAATAATATTTTTGTCCTAATTTTAAGGTTAAATATGGGTTTATATGATAAATAAGTAATTATGTTGCCAACATCTGCAAATAAGATTCCAAAATGCCTGAAAACACAAAATTTGTTTTTGTAATTTATTATATACACTTACATCATTTTTTTGATTCCTTAATCGTGACCGTGTTTCATCTAGATAATCATCGTCTGATGCGAGCGTTGATATAACTTGCAGACGAGTCACTAAAACTATGTAATTGGGACACTGGATTTTATGCTTGAGTAGTAGCCTCTCAACTGATGGTATATAATCAATATATTCGCGTCCTAATTGTATAATTAATGCGCACAAAGTATTCATAGCTGTCACTCTCAGTGTAGGATTGTTTTCGAGGACTTTGGCCAAAGCTTGTATTATCACCGCAGAATATGGTTTCAAATATAAATACATAGATAAGTGCTGCATTGTTTCCATAGCCAATTTGGATATAGATAATGGTATATTCTTTCCATCAAAAAGTCCCGTTATCGCTGGTACTACCGAAAGTAGCACATCATCCAAATTGTTTTCAAACTTTTGAATGGCTAGAAGCATTTTCTCAGTCAAAATTTTATCTTTGCTCTTATCATTTTTGAGAACTCGTAAAATATTTGGCAAGATTTTCCTTAGATATATTTTAAACTCTGTACCAATAGCCACAGTTATATGTTCAACAAGCATGATGAGAGTAGGCTGTAGCTGACTGTCTGGAGTCCAATACTCTCTAATCATATCAAATATATCTTCAAGATAATTACGAATGTGAATTTTGACTACAGAAATTAATTGCGCCAACTGGGTTAGTAAAAAATCTCGAAAGCTATTGTTGTCCGTATTACGTATCACATATAAAAGACTGGGTGTAACACGAGATATATATGGTACGCATTTTATTCCCAATGACTGGAATATTATAGTAACTGCATGGACAACACTTGTGTGATGTTGGACCAGCATAGGATCTCGTAAGATACTCATTAGTGACGTCACTACAATAGCTGGGTAAAACTCGTCAAGAATCAAAGGTGCCATCCTGATGAGCATGTCGCTCATACTAGTATCTGAGAGCTCATTTTTAGTAGACTCTGTTACTGGTATTAAGGTTGAAACCGTTTGAAAATCAATCAAACCTTTATTGACTTTATGTTTATATGGATCTAATGCTCCCAATACACCTAAAACTCTAATAGTTTCTCGTCTATCTCTCACCTGCTGTTCGGTCTTTAAAAAATTAAGTAATAAATCCATTAAATTTGGATATTCCATATAGGGCATGATAACATGTCCTGTTGCGCAAATTACTTGTCCTAAAGACCATAAAGCAATGTTTCTCTTTTCAGGTTGATTTGGATCTGCAAGTAACTCAATTTGAAATGACAATAGTTCATGAAGCCACTGATTTAAAGCATGTCCACCACCATTAACCTCAGCCAAGTCTCCGATAGCTTTTAAAATAGTGCAGACCATAGTACTATTGCTATCTTCTTCTCTTAATTTAGGAACAAGTACTTTAAGAATAATATCCACAAACTGTTGTGTAATTCTGGGTGCATGACAAATAATATTGTTCATCATCCTTAACGACTGTTCTTTATTACGTGTTGATTCAGAGTGTTGTAGCTCCATTAAAATTTGCACAAATAACTGTCGTAGAGTAGGTGTTGTGTAGCTTGGGTTTATGTTGCTCAATCTACCAACTACACATAATGCTAATTCGCTCACATCATTGTTTGAATCATTGATTGCAACAAACAAACCACTCAGATTTTCTTCAACAGCTAAATATTTATCAAATACAGGATTTGTAAATACCTCAAGTACTTTATAACGGACTTCTTGATCGAAATCTGATCGCCCTGCAGCCAATAACTTGCTAATAGATTCATCAATAATGAAATTTAGGGTTCTAGAATTCGTTTGAATACATCTTTCAATAGCCTTTACCAATAATTTTGCAGCAGTTTTGACTGCTTCTAATCGTATATCGTGTTGTTCACTAAGTAAATAATAGTCTGTACATCTCTTTATAAAAGACATCAATGTATTAGCCCACTCAAAATCAAAAGACCCAAGAGTCCGCAGAGCAAGTACTAGTTTTGAGGCATCATATGGTTCCACTAACATTGCAGTAGACATCATATGAACTATTTGTTGTTCTGAATTATGATGTACATAAGGTTTCTTTCGTAATATCAATGATAGCATATTTATCAACCTATCAGAAATCTCTTTTTTTAAAGACGGCATGTGTTGACTTAGCTCTTTAAAGCAAGTTGTAAGTTGTGGGCTTAAACCAGTAGCACACATTGGATCTAGCAATTCTTTTACATCATTTACAACATTTTCTTTCATCGCGAATCCTAATAGTGTGACACAATTAAACAATGGTGTATCTGATCCATGACGTTTTCTAGGTGTATCCTTAATAGGTAGTGTTAATTTTATAATTTCAATAATGCGCGACAAATACTGTTTAATTTCTGCTTCTACAGCTACACATATCAAACCTAAAGTGGTAAAAGCCATTGCTTTCTCTTTTTCTCTGCCTCGTAAGAATGTTATCAAGTGGTTAATTGTAGATTTAAGATGTCGTTTTACAAATGCTTCCCTGTTAAAAGCCGCTAACCTGGGTATTAATAAAAGTAGCATTTGATGAACATTATGTGACCTTGATATTTGTTGCGCCATCACATCTGAACAAATCTTTTCATATTTATCAGTAATAATTTTTTTACAGACTACGGATTCATAAATGGGACTTTCGCTTTTTTCATCTGAATAGTTTTGTGTCAGCCATGTGTTCTGAACTTTTGAACTAAAAGAAAGCATATCATCAGATGCTTCTTGTTCTGCGTCTAGTTTCTGCATTAGAACAGTATATTTTTTTTCCCACGCAGCATTCGAACACCTCAAGAGCTCATTTAAAATTAATAAGGCTCCATGAACATGGTCGTCTCTACTCAGTCCTCTCTCTCGTATAGTTTGATCAGTAAAAGAACTTACGGCCTCTTCATAACATTCAGAATAGCAGTCAACTTTACTGCTATTTTCAGGACTTTCCCTTTGGGTAATAACGACAAAAGCTGCACGTAAAGATTTTGCAGCTGCTTCTCTAATCAAATCTTTTGGATCTCGAAGGGCTATCGTAATATGTCTAAAAAACATGTTTATATGTTGATAGAAATATGATGGCATTGCAATAGCCAGTTCTCGAAGTATGAGAACAGCTGAAAGTCTTTTTCCTTCATTTCTTTCTTCTTCGAGCCATTCATATGCCCTTTTTATTTCATACTCTACATATTCTCCTCGTTTTACACCTAAACTTGCAGCCAAGCGGCCCATAGTCTTCGCTGCCAGTTCCAAAACACTAATATCTGATGTAGGAAATATATTTCTTAAATAATGCGCATAGCGTATAGTTCTTGTTTTAGTCGTCTCTGTATCTCCACCAATCAGGCACACTGAAATAAAATTAAAGCATTTCACCATGTCAGAAAGTTTTATGAATATTGTAAACATTTTTAATAAACTTTATTAAATAATATAATAGCAATTACTCTTAACATGTGCTTGCCAGCATAAGAGTGATTTTTAATGCTCTCAATAGTTGATTATTTTTTGTCCTTCATAAAATAAGGCTAGGAAAAACATATGATCACTATTGACAATCTTGTGATATATAATGACCGTCATCTAAACCTCAAATCAAAAAGCGGAATTCTTAAAAGTTCACCCTCGTGGACTCGGTGAAAAAGTTCATTCTAATAAAAAAATCTGTTAAAAAAATGTTGAAAAGCCAATGGAAATACACGACGTAACCGAGCAGGATTTGGCTGTCGCTGTCTATTGGAGAATGGAACAAGACAACGCAACGGTGCCATTGATTTTATACTGGCAATCGCAAAATCAAAGATTGCACCCCTTCAAGATGCAGAACATAACAAGGCTGGAACTGCTAGCGGCGATCTCACCAACAAAGTCATCGTAGATTAGGCGCCAAACAGCACCATTAACTAGAGTAACAGCCGAACAGCCCCCCACTGAATAAGAAAACGACCCACTACGCTGTATGTTATTTGTAGCGTCGCGTTTGGGGGAGATATCCCTTGAAACAGAGACAGACACCGACGACATGATGAGAACCACGCGGAAGACATTAACCGTGTAAGACATATTTTGTCAAGACCCCGTGAGAATCGAAGTATACATGGCCGATAAAAGAGATCGACGTCGTGGAGATCGTGCAACAGGAGTCCTGCCTTCCTGACATCAGCCATTTCTATCTTACGGCACGAGAGTCTTATCATAATAAACATACCGAAGATCATACCTTCTCTTTATAAAACGATGCCAAAGTTACCGCATAATAAACTTGAGAGAGTATTACTTGGAAGAAGCGGTAGAAATATTCATAAGAAAAGCATAACAACAGAGTTTCGAATCCATAAACCACAGACAGAATTGCGAAGCCCAGACAATATAAAGTCATTCAACAAACATTAAGTTAACTGTAAAAGTTTAAAAGTATGCCAGACCAAATAAATATATAACTAAATATGTCCGTAGTACACGTTAAAAACCTTGCACATTTGTAATATGATCACCCGACCCATGGTACGCGTCGCATTTTCCGTCAGATATGCACTGACCACGACTTTAGGAAAGACACAGTGCTCCATAATAGATGAATTCTGTTGAATTCATTAAGGATTGTCCGCATCGATTTTATTTCGCGCGAATGTATTTTTTCGCAATTTTGAATGATATGGGATTTCCCCCACTTGCGGCAAAAAAAATCGCGTTTTGAAACAGGATTGTTTAGTCGTGTATCAGCACTAGCGGTGGAAAGATGTTACGCGGTTGGTTTACCGTCTACTCAGCGGCCACCGAAAATGACGAAATTGATAGCTAATTCAAAACAGGCCTCCCCCTATAGGAAAATTTTCAAGCAAATTATCATGATAGGCAATTGAAAACGAGGTTGTGGTAAAAAAATATACATTGAATTGAATTATATGTTGACAAATTAAAATTGTTCTGTAGTTCATTTTAAGGGTTCCAGCAAAGGGTAAAATGGAAACCCTATTACTAAGGCTTTGCTGTCTATCTGTCATCAGTCTATACATGAACCATGAAAGGTGGACAGTTAAAATTTTCACAAATACTAAAAACCAGATTAAAATAAGTATTTAAAAGGCAAATAAAAATCGTGATGCAGACAGTCCCACCACCCATCTTTAAACCTATTGCAGGCTATAAAAAGATATGCCACAGACTTTGCTGTATTCCTGATCTGTATAAAACCTAAGAGAAGTTTGTAGTCAATTTGGTTATTTACTAATATTGTTTAGAGGTTATTTTATGAGCTGGCAATGGGAATCAGTCTTGTCAGTCCAAATATTCCAAATAAAACATTTATTAAGAAAGTAATTTTCACCATATTTTCTTATACAACTTTATCTTTTTAAACGACAAAACATTTTGTATATTGACAACATTCCTTTTATGGATATAACATAACATAGTTCTCACCACCACCAGCCCTTTTACGTCCCCACTGCAGGGGCTCAGGCCTTCCTTATGGATGGTTAAGGAGGATGGGCCATGACCATCCACGCTGGCCCAATGCGGACTGGAGGGTGTTCTCCGAACATAGTTCTATAAACTTTTATTTCTATGAGATACTCCCATAAATGATCCTATGCTATTTTCCAGAAAACATAAATATTTATATGTGTCCCAACTAAATATACATTTTGGTCAAGGTCAATTTTTAAAGATAGTAAATTAAAATATCTATACTAATATTATGAAGAGGAAAGATTTGATTGTTTGTTTGCAACAAATAGGCTACAGGACCAATTTTAAAAATTCTATCACATAAGGGAAGCTACACCATATGCGGTGAACATAGAATAATTTTTATTCTGAAAAGTAGCAAAGGATTGAAAATAAGAGTGGAAGTTTGTATAGGGAATTAAAAGATTACCATAGTAACAAGTGTTTACTATTGAATTTGTCATTGTAACTATATCTGTGTTATGATACGAATTAATATACAAATAAACAGCTCCTTAGGAACCAAGTGAGCAAAACCATTAGCAGAAAGCTAATTATTAATAATTTTTGATATATTAATGTTGTCAGGTTTCAAACTGAGAGATCTCTAAGGTCCCGAGTTTAGTCCCAGTTGAGTCATACCAGAAAATGGACTTTTCTATATTGTCTTAGATTGATAGTACCCTACAACAAACATATCATAACAACGACTTTAGTCACTAAACTTGGGATATGAGCAGTCTGTAAAATTTTCTAATTAAAATCTATTATTATTATTAGTAACTGCAATATGTCTATACAATACATAGTGAGATTTAGTGAAATGCTTACCTATAGTAAGGATGCCAGCTTTCTTTTCATTATTATCATAACTTGAAGTCATCGTATGAATATGTTGGTTAAAATCATCTAACACTTGTATCATACAGTCTTGTGACAATTCACGCAGGTCGGTTTTCGCAAAGTGTAACAATTCACGGATAGCTTTATGTCTTGTCTCTGTGTGACGGGCCTTTAGACCCGACACCAATTCGGCTACTTGATTGCTAGCCATGATGCTTATCGTGCTAACGACATTATTAGTTAGTTGACGGGCTTATAAACTACTGTAAATATTGGTTGAAATCGAGAGACATATCAAGTACTTGTCAAAGACATTGACAATCATTTTTTCAATTGTTAAAGATCTAATCTAAATTAAAAGATCAATCCATAAGATTATGAATTTCTTACTAAAATCCAAATATAAACAAACTACTAAATAGCAAACATGCGGCCATTGACCGATGACAGCACGTTGACAGATAAAGTACTTTGTGGTTGACAGCTAGCGGTGGGAACACTTCTCAAAAACGATTATTAAACCGGTGTATTAATTTTATGTTAGAAGGTGACAAAAATTCATGTTTCGCTATTATCTCAGTTACTGTCACTTCAAAATTGTTATCATTTATAGATGAATGTAGATATTAAAATTACAGATAATTTTTATCCTATTTATTTGCACTTGACCATATACACTACATTGAAAGTTAGTCAGAAAATCGCAGTAAGTAATACTTTATATTATTAATTCCTAAAAAATATATTACAGCATTTTATAAGAAAACAATTCATTTCTACGTAACTACTAGACGAGCTGTTCTAAACTCATACTATTACACAATATGACCGCGCGTCAGCAGCCAGCGCGTTGCTGTTTCATTTGCTTACCAGTAAGTAAAATAAGCAAGACAGTAATATTAAAACATTTTTATAGCAAAATTTTCGACTTTAATTAAAAAAATTGAGACAACTTTTGGAATGCCAAAATGAACTTGAAAGCACTAAAAAAGCACCTCCGCTAGATGGCGACTCTAGCAAAAGTTGATTTTTGCAGGAAACGAATGTACCAAAGACAGTCATTACCGTTCCTTTTAACTAACATATTAAAAAAATGAAATTTGAAAAGTTCGAAACTTAGATATATACAATACAAATACGAAAATTTATTGAGTTTTGAAAACTAATTTACTTTTAAACGTGAAAGAAAACCGGAATGATTATCATGGAGAAATTAAGAACGTACTGTAGCGACATCTAATTTGATTTCGGGAACTAATGTATTTTTTGAAGTACTTCCTCATTGAAATAGGGTAATGTAATTAATATATATAGGCCCGTAGATATAATTTCTTCCTGAATAAAATACAATTCACTATAATAGAATAGACCATTCATTTTTAAATTAAAAGCAAAAAGTCACGCCTCTAAACTGTTGCCGGTTGGTACGCAATGCTAAAGGGCGATTTTGAACCGTCACGCGTTATCGGCAATGGACGCTTGAGAGGTTATTTTTAACTTAAAGTACTATGCACATCCCTAGTGTACGTTTAAAATTTAATAATTATTTGTTTTTTAATCGTAGGTATTTTAATAATTTTAATGAATTAGCCATCCTTGTTCTAATGTACTTGACACTGTATTGATCATAAACATCTTACGTATACCATTTCGCTATTATAAACACTTTTTTCATCATTTCATGTCGGTACTAATATTATTAACACTCTTCTTCTTCTTCCATCTTAATGGTTATTTTGTGTTAACTACAATCTTGCCAATTTCGCATAGGAGACCACTACATGGTATAATAAATTAATATACTCTTTGGATTTGGAGGCTATTATAAAGTTAATGATTATTTTAGGGACCGCAATGCATGGAATTAATAGCCTTCACTTTGTTCTATAAGGACTAATTATATGTACAACCTATGACCTACACTTTATACAGACTTTGAAAGTTGTATTTATTATTGTCATAATACAATTATTTTGGTAATGACATGAATTTTGTAAATGTCATTACTTATGATAAAGAGCTTTTTCGCTGGTTCTGAAAAAGACGTCCTGAACAAGTGTTAGGGGAAAGAAATTTTTTTTGGACTATTTAAAAATGCTTGTAAGAAGCTTACTTGAATAAAGTTATTTTCATTTCATTTCATAAGTTACTTTATGATTAAATGTCTAATAGTAAATAGTCTGAGTTAATGACACGAAACAAATAGAACTTAAATACTACATTTTGTTATAAAGTTGTGATAAAATTAGTGTACGATAAACATAATTTAGATGTAATATAATTTGCGAAACCATCAAAAAGCATTTTAAAAGATCTAATTCACAGAAGAGTTTATAATTTAACACAAACAACACCACAAAATAGTTGCTATCTTTGTCTTACTCCTTAGTAATGACAATGACAGATAGTTTTACGTAATTTTCATTGACTTATTTTGAACGAGGATGACGCGTGTATTTTCAATACTTTCTCGTCATCTCTTCCTTCATGCAACACACTCTTGTTAGAAACGTCAAACAGCTGAGTGCAGTGTCTGATTGCTTCTCGTTTTGTGGTTGTGGCTAGTTCATTGTGTTCTTCTTGTATCAGAATATCGAAAATTATTGTTAAATAGTGTTTCGTTTAAATAATTATATAAACTTAAAGAAACAAGTTCATTATGAGTGAATTAAGTCAAGAGGAGGTAAGTGGAATTTTTGTTTTGTAAACGAACCTTGTCATAGGTAATGCGTATGGCCAATCTAATTTTGTAACAAAACAAAGCATTAGTGTAACTCAGTGGCGCGCATTTTTATTCATCCACGTGCTTAAATACCTCGTGTTTATTTATTTCAGATAAGAAGGCGACGGTTAGCACGTCTGGCTGCCTTGGGTGGCGCAGGATCAAGTCCATCACCTGCGAGCCCCCCAGTGACTCCAGGCGCATCTTTGCCATCACCTGACTTACAAATTGCTCAATTATCGCGTCTCTCACCCGCCTCAACTCCACGAACTTCCACAGAACCTAACACACATGAAGTAGCAAACACAAACAAAGAACCAAACTATGATGACGGTGTCAGTAAAAGTGATGTTACAAATCAGACAAAAATACCTGCTGATGGACTTATTGTGACAGAAAAGACAGACAATAACTTATTGGATGAAATCCCTGATACTAAAATGGCTGATCTTTCTCAAACAAGACAGTATAACAGCTTTGATTCAATGGGGGATGATACATTATTGAGTTGTGGCTCTGTTAGAGTGGGTAGCTTGCCCCAATCAACTGTTGGTGGTTCAGAGGGAACTTCGACTCGAGAAGATAGTACTTCTAGATCAATATCCCCAGCACAGTTTGCAGAACCTTCTCCTGTGAGGCCGAGACCCAGTAATGTGTCACCTAGTTGTTCACGGAGGTCATTGTCCATGGAAGTTGATGACTCGTCTGAAAGGAATTCTCAGTCTGAACAACAACAAGAACCCATGGAAGTGAGTTAACATTTCTAACCTTCCTTCAATATTTTCTTTTTTCCACAGCAAATTGATATGTATACAAGTATGGATTTTAACTTACTTTAAAATCAAAAAGGATGTCTTCAGTTCAATAGGTTTTTTTTTGTATGTTCACTATTCCTCCATTCATTGTGGACCAATATGCTGAAATTGCATGTGAATTGAAGAAATAGTTTTTATTTATTAATTGGGAGTCTATTGCTGAGTTATCTGGTAAATATGTAAATTTTTTTTATACAATGATTGCCAAAATGGTGGCAATATGCAATCATATTTGTTCATAGTATCAATAGTATATTGATTGATATGTCCAAAATTCATTGATTCACCCATCAATATTTTTTTTACAAATAAGGAAGTATTTTTTATGTAACAAACTACTAAAATAAATGCCATCAGATGGAGATACTATGATCTACATGTCTGTCAACTCTTGACTGGAAACAATAAGATTGAAATGAACCACCAGGGTAACTTTTCTCCTTTACACAACATATTTCGAAGCTTACTGTTCCAAAACATAAATATTATTTTAGAAATTTGGATGTTAAAGGGTGACACAACATTTTCAATTTACGTAGTGACATCTAGTTATACTTTTTTAATACTTGCTCATTGTATATTATAAACATTTCCAAACTCTTAAAAAAAAGTTTGTGCTCTGATAACAAACTTTTTAAATAGATTACAAAAATATAGCCCTCATTTATACCATACTAGGTAGATTCAAATACCGACATGTTGGTAAGTTGAAAAGATTATACCTTACTTAATTTTTTTTGCTGGTATGAGGATTTGGGAATGTCCACTTAGTCTATTCACTGCCTTCTTATTTGACTTTAAAAGTTTTTAAATAAAAACAACAGACCAACAAATGATGAATAGAGTAAATAAAAAAACAAAATATAACAATGCTTTTATAGATATTTTGTTTTCCTTAGCAATGAATAGTCTCGACAACAATCAGACAACAAGAAATTTTTTTTAACATAGTTTTGCGTATATCATCATCATCAGCACTTTTACGTCCCCACTGCAGGGGCTCAGGCCTTTCTTATGGATGGTTAAGGAGGATGAGCCATGACCCTCCACGCTGGCCCAATGCGGATTGGAGGGTATTAACGACTGCAAATGCAGCCGGGACCAACGGCTTAACGTGCTTTCCGAAGCACGGAGTAGCTCGATATAATAATTTTTGGTCACCCATCCCATGACCGACCCTTGCGAAAGTTGCTTAACGACAGCGATCGCGGGCCGCGGTGCTTATCCATTACGCCACCGAGCTACTCGCGTATATAATGAGGCTTATTTACACATAATAATATTTATATGTGGGAATAAGCATCCTTAGGTTAGGTGGCTCCATTTTCCGCAATTAAATACTCTAATCGATCCATTGTGCGTGAATAAGCATCCATGTATGTTGATTAATTTTAAACAGTTTTTTTAAAGTTGTCGGGTTCCCTATTGGGAGGCCACTAGTCAAAATAGATAATCATCAAATTCGTGACACGAAGTTTATGGACAGGCCTTTTATACCTATATGCTTTTTGTAATAATAAAGTCTTTAAATTCTACTAATAGGTAGAAGATGACTCATCAGCATCTCCTGCTCGGAAGATATATCGGTCGCGAACCGTCAGCTGTACTGAATTGACTGAAGAACAGCTGCGGCATATTGTCGCCAAAATTCTGCAAGTGTCATGGTCCGAAGACATACCTGGTAAGTGTGTTACTCTGAAAAAAACTCTTGAAAAGCTACATAGTTACAGTATACGTGAATACTTCTTATATTTTTACAGGTGGAATATTTGTGCCATCAGTTGCAGCCGCATTGCTTGACAATCCTAAATTAAGTCTAGATGAATTGGCGTCAGAAGCAATAATGGACGTCATCATGCAACTAGCCGATGGAGCGGATCCATTAAATCAGAAACTGCTTGCAGTTTCGGAAACATCTAAAAGACTAAGTGAAGATTGTGGAGATGATTCATTGACAAGTGGTCCGCTCGGATCTGATACGGACGCCGACAGATCGGATTGCCCGGCGCCATCGTTACCACTGCCTAAAACAATTCCTACACAGGGTCTCGTTGTTAGTTATCTTTTAAGATTCTACAATAACATTAATCTTTACGAAAGAGAACATCCAAAGAAAAGCTCCGAGCCTCCTTTGAGTGATCTTTTACAAAGTTTGAGGACTTTGCTTGTGAATAATTTGGTGCTAGTGCTTCAAGGTCAATTTGAACTAGAAAAATGCAAGAAATCACCATTGCTGCCATATATTTTAAACGGAAATTCACCATCTGGCTTAATACCAGAAATTCTACTAGCTACTTATTTAGATAAAGAAGTGTTTGAAGAGGTAATTTTTTTTTCTGATTCGTGATAGGTTTCATATTTTAATAATAAAAGGTTAATTTTGAATGTTGTTTGTTTTTGTTTTACTAGGTGTTTGTACCTCTTTTGATGGGCATTCGTGAAGAGATGCGGCGCTGCGTTTCACCAACTGTAGGGCGAGGGCACGGTGCAGCGTTAAGAGCGTTGCGCTCATTGTGCGACTTACGCGCTGGTCCGAGGCATTCAGCTCGTCCCGTTTGTGCACTAATCGCCCGGCTGCCAAGTTTTTGTCCCGCACCAGTGACTACCTCACCTGGTCGTGAAATTGCTCGTGTGAGCTTCCTCGGTCCTTTCTTCGCTGTAAGTTCACCTATTGTTTGCGTATTAGATTTACTTAAGTTTTATTTGCATATTGCAATCAATATTTTATTCGATTAAGAAACTAAAGCGAGAGAATTTATGTAATTCATAATCTTTACTTACTTATTTATACTGTCTGCTACCTAAATTGCAATGAGAGTGTTATTTCCAGATTTCCCTTTTTGCTGAAGAGAATCCGCGACTGGCAGAACGTCTATTTGCGACAGGTTCCGGTGATCGTAGTCTCGCATTCGCGCTACAACGTGAAGTGGAAGCGAGCCGGAACACTCTCCACAATATTTGTCACAATATTCTGCTATGCCCTGAAGCGCGTGACCCCTTTCTCAAGTATTTCGCTGCGATACTACAGCGTAACGAGCGTCGCGCCCAGCTTCAAACGGATGAGCGATCTCTTGCAGGTATATCTATATGATATAGGTTTATTTTGAAAAAGTTTAAGCAAATTATTCGCAACATTAGAATGTCAAAAGGGTTTGTTTTTTAATTGTCTTTCTCTATCGAGTACAGATCAATGGTCGGGTCGCTGAAGACTCGTTTTGATTTAAACGTACTAAATATATAACTAAAACATATATAACAATTATACGTTTTATAATTCTTAGGAACTGTTGCCTACCGCGTAATTTTATTAACCCACCAATTTTATTTGTCGCACTCAGTGACTCATATCATTACGTTTATTGACATGATAAAATATAGCTTTCTTGAATGATAAAGTTAAAAGTAACTTATTATTTTATGTAATTCTACTTAAGAAAAAAACGAACGAATACAAAAACGAATAAAAAACGTAGTTAGGTTTTAACAGTTGTATTGCGAATAATATTTTGTATGAACTAAAATAAACAATCTTATAATATCGTTGCATAGGTCTGTGTATTACCTACAAATAACCCTGTCGGTTGTATATCGAAGGTAACACATTTGTTCTTGTTAATAGCGGAGCACAAATGATTACTGTAATAAATGTTAATTGTAGCATTGAGTGCGTAGACGCGCGAGTTTAATGAACGACCGAAACAGATTATAATTATCTTCCACATGTCGTTCGCTTATCGTGCGTCGGATCTTGTATTGGCGTGCCTCCAAATTATTTACTTTCTTCGACTGCGTCTTTACCTCTTTGTAAATATTTGTATTTACCAATTCACGGAATCATGTAGGAAGTCTTGACCATTAGCCAAACTTGTGATGTATAAATAAAAACAATACACTTATCTAGAATTCATGATAGTTTTCTAGAAACAATATACAATATAGATTTAACGAAAAAATAACAATATATCAATTGGCATTTCTAGTGTATTTGTTATTAAAATATTCTCCTAATATCAGTTGCCTAATATCGAATAGTATCAAAATAACAAATATTATGTTTGAAATTTGATTTTATTAAAACTTAGTTTTATTTAAACGCACGAAAGCGTTTCTCATACAGACCATTCTAAAGGTTACATCCTATACAGATAATTTTTACATACTAAATTGAAATTATTATATTGACATAAAATAAAAAAAAAATTAAATGAAGAAATTGAATTGTGAACTCTTCACATTCTTCACATTTCAAAAAAATTTAAATGAAGAAATTGAATTGTGAACTCTTCACATTCTAAAACTTGTTGTTAACTTGTTAAAAATTTTTAATTAGAAAAAACAATATGTTTATCAATATTCTGTATCTGTATCGCTGTAGAAATGAGTATACAATAAGAGATGGACAATCAACGTCAAATTTAAATTGAAAATTTTCAAATATTACAATCGCGTATGATTTGCTGTAAAGATATTTTGTATATAAACATATATCTGTATACTTTCATTTCAATAGCAAATAGCCAATAACAGTATTTCTAAATGTACATTTTTTAATATTTTAATCATATTACTTCCGGTTGAACTTAACCAAAAAAAGTCTGGTAGCTGACACGTCACTCTTTCATAATAAGAAACATTATAATAGTGACATATTATGTTTGTTTTTAGGTGACGGGTTCATGCTAAATGTGTGTTCTGTGCTGCAGCTGTTGTCTGTGCGCATTAAGCTTGAGCGTGTGTACCCATTGTACACGTTTATGCCAGGCTCAAGCACTACCATCCGTGATGAGACAAGACTCTACTACACCACACAAGAGGCAAATGATTGGCTCGAAGCACTCAGTGAGTTATACATATGACAACCAATACAATAAGCTAACATTTAACAGCAATATAAGTTTATTGGTAGCCTTTTAATTATTATTGACAATGCCTGGGTCGGATTCTGAGGTACAGTAAGATGTGAAATTTGAGATGAGTGGTCCACTAATGTACCTTCACAAAATGACTGAGATGTACACCGAATGTGCTGTATGGTTATTGTAATAATACTCACTATAAATTTTAATCGTACCTTCGATCATGGCTGGATTGGTGGATCTGTTCTGCATAAACGAAGATTCACCATATGCCATATCAGTTGGAAATTCTAAACTTTTTTTGGAACTTTTCACTTCGACAATATAAGTATTGTGTCTGTGTTTTGCTGTATATAAAGGTGACATTGAATAATGTGAACAAAACTTTGTAAACAATGGTTATTGATCAGTGGCGGTATAAGAATAAAATTTTATTTTCAGATAAAGACCCTAATCATAGATGGCCCGAGTCCAAGTTCCAAACAATCGGTTGGTTCCTCACACTCCACATGCATCACGTTGCTCTCATTCCTGCTTTGCATACGCATCAACGTCGTATAAGGTAATCTATAGAAATTTATTGAAATCGGTTATATTGCGCTGCCACTTTATATTTGAGCACATATTTAATAGAGATATCAGTAAAACACATGTCAGGCTATCAGTGGCCTCGGCGGGGCCCCATATAGTAATTTCTTTGGGGGCCCTTATGAAGGGTAAAGATTTCTCACAAAAGAAAAAATGATGTTTTTATAAACTGTACGAATTATAATCGTAGCCCGCGAAAGCCGATGTAAGGTGTTACTAACTTTGAAACGCACAAAGCGTGCGTTTCAAAGTTGGCAACAAGGAAACTTGGGAAAAAGGAAATGTTATATACGACGACATGACGACAAATTTTTGTTTGTTTGTCCGTCAGGTAAAGTGTTAAAAAATATGAAACACGTATTTTTTTATTTCTTTCGCAATCATAAAATTACGGCGTTATATGGAGTTGAAATTTCGCATGACGTCACCTTATGGTACGTTTTCTACTAAACTGTGACGTAGCGAGCCCCCACTCCTTAACTTTAATGCCTGTTATCTAAGCTATTTCTTGTCAAATTGAAGAAAAAAAATACGTATCTAATATTTTTCTATTATCTGACTGACGAACTACTTAGAATTGCATTTTTTTTACCCAGTCGTCATCTCTATTGATATGGCAGATACGGCGGTAGCTACGCCCCTGCAGGCTATACAAAACTAAATTCTCTCCACTTGATTTTGAACCGTAATGCGTTGAAGGTGGAGTCAAAATCAATTGAAGAAAGTTTACATGTTGCGGTAGTCTGACGTGCAGTCGTGTGTACAAACAGTTTAATGAAATCTCTTTAATATTTTAGCGTTTGAGTATCGCTAGCAACTCTGTCTCGTGCGTATGTCCGTGTTGGTTGAATAGTATCGGTTCTATTCTTCAAGAATCAAGAATATTGTTGAGTATAATATTGTGAATTCAAAATTAAGCAAATATAATAATTAGAACAAATTTTCATCTTTATTGAAATTTTAAATATTTGTAAAAATATTTATTTCGGCTGTTTGGGTGGATTGCCTGAACATTGATGAAAATACGCTGATGGTGTCCAGAGCAGTCGCTCGGATTGCGAAAGGTTTATGGGTTCCCATCTCAGAGTGCTAGGGACAAAGTGGAATTTTAAACATTTTTCATTAAGAAGATTGTTTAGTATAAACATTGTGAATGCAAAATTGATCAAATTTGATAATACAATTCTTATTTCTTTGTAGACGGTACCAGTTGATGTGCCTATGACGTCAATTAGTATCAGTCGTCAACGGCCAACTCGAAACAATCGGCTATTAAGCATATATGCCGAGTTACAATAATGATTTTGTGAAAGTACCTCTAATTATTTATGACAAAGTTTGTTGTTGAGCGTAATAAATAAAATAAAATAAAACAAAACCGGCAATTTATTTTTTCGTGAAATATAAGTTGAATTGTTATTCTAATCACTGGATAATACGACTTTACCATTTACGGGATAATAAGCTTGTATGGTTGTCTCGCACAGGGCTTTCCGTGATCTCCAAAAAGTAATTGAAGAGTTGATGGCTGCTGAGCCGCAATGGCGGAACAGTTTTTCTGCCTTGCGCAACGATGAACTACTCACCAGGTGGCGCCGGCAAATCAAACGTCTGCACAGGTCATTATTACAGTATATTCATAAAATAGTGTTAAACTTTCTATACTATTATTTATTTATAATCTTAATTTAGCTTTATTTTAACGTTAATCCTTAGACACATGTATAAGTAGATTACTTTTGTCATACTGGTTTTTTAAAGGATTGAAATGGCGTTTGACAGGATAAAATTAACAACCATCTTTAGACTGGTTTGTGCAACCAGATTGCTACCAATGTATATTATACTTAGAGTAATTGTATTAGGAAAAAGAAACACCCAATACTTGTTCTTCTTCATTAACTGAATTTAGTGTAATAAATAATTAAGAGAAAAGTTTTGTAAACTAAATAGGTATATAATAAAATATAAATACAAAAGCTTTAAAATTATTTAACAGAAAGTAGGTATATGATTATAATTTCCCCAAGAAGTGTACAAGATAAGAAAAATATGGTTCCCAAAGTCACTTTTAACCGTCTTTTCTTTTTTTCATTGTAGATCTAAACAGTGCGCAGAAACGGCCCTCTTAGACGGTGAATTGATGCGACGTAGTGTACAGTTCTGTGCGTCCGCGTGTGCGTTGTTGACGCAGCAGTTGCACGCGGCTAAGACGCAGTCTGGTCTCCAAGCGGCCGCTTTCCACGCGACGCCCGAGTGGTACGTCGAGGACATTGCGGAATTCATGCTGTTCGCCGTACAGTAAGTACACGCCCTTATATTTGTCGTACTGTGGAACACAACTGATATAGCTTTCTGATGTACCTCTGTGGAAGGCTAGATTTTTAATTGCGACAAATCTTGGACAATCGGATTGAGATGGTAGTGTCTTTTATGTTGAACCTTATTGTTATTAAAACAAGAGTAAATTATAAATTTTAGGGGCGTCATTGCAATTGATTGGTGAATAGGGATGATGACTATTTTTGTTTGTTTATCCGTCAAGTGGATTATTGAAGAATATTAATTACGTATTTTTTTATTTTTTGCGTAATCAATAAATAGGGCGATAAATTGAGTTGAAATGTCACATGACGTTACGCTTTTGTACAATTTCTACAAAGCTGTGACGTAACGAGCTTTCACATCATCCAAAAAAATCGGTATCCAATATTTTGCTATTATCTGGCTTTCGGACTAAATACATTTTCTTTACCCAGGCATCATAGTATTATCAATGATTCATGTACTATTAAAAATAAGCTATTTTTTTACAATATTTACTTATTATTAATAATCCCTTGAAGCACTGCTTATATGTCTGATATCTATTTACAGATACGTCCCTCAAATAGTAGCAGACTACATAGAGGACCCTATTATAACGTGGCTTCTCAGCGCCATATGCAACTCGCATCTGATCAAGAACCCTTACTTAGTCGCCAAGATAGTGGAGGTGTTATTTGTGATCAATTTATCTGTCCCGTTGAAGCTGAAGAACGTATACGAGAAGTTCATGGACCACCCTATGTCGCAGACTGCCTTGCCGAGTGCTTTGATGAAGTTCTACACTGACATCGAAACGACCGGCCAGAGCACAGAATTCTATGACAAGTTTACCATTCGTTTTCACATTAGCATCATTTTGAAGGGAATGTGGGAACGACCTATACATAAACAGGTATTTAATGTTTATTTTGAGAAAAAACTATCATATCATAAAATGTATAGTCCGATAAACCGGCTTGAAGAATCATTAATGTTTGAGTTTTAATTAATGGTGATTTGGTGCATCAAATTGACTTTCTAGATACGTAAGATTTAATGACCTTGATAAAATATATATAAAACTGTAAATAGTGTGTTGTGTAAACTGTTCTATACCAATGCAATAATATATTATTTGCGAAAAGAAATGTTTACTATACTAATTACTAAGTGTAAAATGTTTACGGTTGATATTGAACTGGAATTTAAATACCTTAATGTTGAAAATCATTTGGAAGACAAGAAAGCAGTTCAATAAATAAATCAAAGTTTAAAGAATAGTCCTTGTTCGGGTCTTTGTGGTATATTTACATGTGTTCAGTATAATAAAAATAGTGTTAAGCTTGACAACGTCAGTTTATCTGTCATTACATGGCACACTTCAATACAGTCTATATATTTATAATTGTTGCTACTTTTCCCCAAAGGAAAAATTCTGTTATAGTATGAAAAATTAGAGATTAATTTGGTGTTATAAGTGTAAAGGAAGTCTATTTTTAATACTATATTATTGTTGTTCTGTTACAGGCTATTGTGAAGGAGTCACGTTCTGGACGGCAATTTGTCAAATTTATTAATATGCTCATGAATGACACCACATTCCTCTTAGACGAATGCCTTACGGTGAGTTTTTGCTGTTTTTTTTTTAACAATGAAAAGGGATTTCTTATATTTTTAGGCACACTAAATATGAAACAACTGTTAAACGATTTTATCGCGTTTGTTTTTAGTTTTTGACGTCGGAACCTTTACAAAATAATTAATTAAAAAAGACAATCAACACCTTAGTCTTATGAGAACACGGAAATGAATAGTAAGTTTAAAGTATGATGGTATGGAATAAAGTAGTCAATCTCTTGTCGAATAAAAAATGCATTGTGAGAGTTTTATAAGTAACAAATACGATAAAATGATTAGGAAGTGTACGTGTGATATGTAAAAAATATAAAACAAAAACATGTTTTATCATCCATCAGAAAAAATAATAAATCCTGTTTTATTGCGTACAAAAATATTTTCTTTCTTGATTTTGTTATTTATTGTGCATTAGTACAAATAAATTAGCGTGCTGCAACTCAAAATCAGTTAAAGATACCCTTGGATTTTTCTTTTTTATTATCAACATTCAGTGAACATTAGTTCGGCGATATTGGTGGTCTTTTTAAAATAACCTTATTGGATTATCTTATTGGAAAACTTGTTTAATGTGTTTATGTGTATATATCATTAAATTAAAAAAATTAAAAGTTGTCTACATCTCTATTATTTTGCTTTTAATAGTACTTGAAGCGCATCCATGAAGCTCAGGAAGGGAGCGGGGCATCCAGCGGTGCAACAGCGGAGGCGCGCGCGCGCGCTCTTGCGCAAGATGAAAGACAATGTCGCTCCTATCTTACACTAGCCAGGTATACCTTTAACCCCTTAGAGGTTATAGATAACTCAAAAATAATTAAATCAGTCAGTGTATTGGTATGGATCCTGGATCCTTCCCCCACCGGCGGTATTCCTCAGCGGGTTTTGTCAAGCAGCTTCAACCTGTCCTTTCTCAGAACAGGTGCAAGGTGTATTTCCTCTACCTTCTCAAAATCTCAGAAGGTGACGAAAAATAAAATCTTTTGTCTACATACAAATTAATAATCTTCCTTTTATTGAAGGTAATGAGTTCTTGATTGTGTAAAAAAAATGTTTTTATAGATTCTTAGTGAAATAATTTGGATTAAAAAAATAGAGCTGAAGAAGTGTTGGAAACCAACACAGAACTATACCTACATGACTTAGTCTAAACTAATATTTCTAAAGAGGTTGATAAATAAATGAATCATATATCACAGAGAAACTGTCGACATGCTGGAGTATCTGACAGTGGAAATCAAGGAACCGTTCTTGCGCCCGGAGCTGGTAGACCGGCTCGCTTCCATGCTCAACTTCAATCTGCAACAACTTTGCGGACCCAAATGCAAAAATCTCAAGGTAAATAAAATATATATGAACCTCTCAAAAATATATATTTGAATGTAATTTTCACATTACTAGTTTTCATAAATAATGTTAATAAATGTCTATTAAAATTAAACCTAGTGCTAGGTCAAATGTATGAAATTTACTTCAATATAATGTTCACGTTTTTGTGAACCTCACACAAACATACTTGCCGATATCAGCCTGTATATATGTATCTGCTTGAGAATTGAAGAATTAAACCGCATGTATATATATATACATTACTCCGACGAGTAGAAGCTCGATTACGCTTTGGTCAACATGTTCCGTCTGACGAGATCAATCGACTTTCGCAGGGATCGGTCATGACCAAAAAATTCATTACCTCTGGTTCCTCTATCGTTAAGCCGGTGTCCCTCAGCTGCAGCTACAGTTGTTAACACCCAACAATCCGCTCTGGACTCGCGTAACGGGTTACGTCCCATTTTTGGTACTCGATGCTATCCATAGAGAAGGCCTTCTCTGTGAGGACTTCAATAGGTTCATGATAACTCCGCTGAACTGTTTAAATTGCATAAATATCAATGCTATCAACAAAATCAAAATACATATTTATGTATGTAACCAAGTATTTGTGGTTTACTATATGACAGACATAAATGGTTGCTGCCAAGCTACAAGGCCGCCTTGTGTAACACTCTTTACCTTTATTTTTGTTATGTTTTAAATATGCAATGAAGTTTGTTCTATCTATAATTATATATTATAATCGTTAATAACAGGTGCGAGAGCCTAAGAAGTACGGATGGGAACCACGCCGCCTGCTGAGCCAACTGGTCGACATCTATTTACATCTAGACGCGCCGCAGTTCCACGCTGCTCTTGCTGCTGACGAGGTAATCAAGCATTTATGTCACTAGGGATATGTTTAGTGGAATAAAAAGTATCCTATTATCTAAGTCAGCTAATATCCTATCTCTATACCAAATTTCATCAAAATCCGTTCAGTAGTTTCGGCGTGATTGACCGACAAACATCTAAACATAGAAACTTTCATATTTATAGTATTAATAGGATTCAAAAAAACTAAACCGCCACATTTTTCATTGCCGCAGGGTTATGAGGTTTTTTTTTTCGGCCGCCCTTCGCCTGACGTAACGGGAGAATACTTTCTATTCCAGTTTTTGCACTTGCATATAGAATCTTAATACATAGTGTTGAAATCGAAAATTGTGGAATGGAGAAAACAATGCTGCTTACGTGCAATTATAATCTCTATTGTTTTAGTGCATGGTCGAAAATCGCATATTTAAAGAAACTTATTATCAAAACTCAAGATATTCTTAATGCAAAATTGATGAAATATAATGAATCTCAATATCTTAATATACGAGAAAGATATTATATTATGATGTTTATACTGCTCAAAGTGTATCGTTATTGGTAGTTACTACGAAATCTGATTTCACAAAGCGTTGGATCTTCGCGCCAAATAAACAAGTCATGTAATTTGTCAGATCTGACGTTCCTCGACCGATGAAACATGATGAATTTTCCTTCAGATATGCACCAACCCTTAAGATAAATGAAAGCTCTAAAGAAATTTAGACCGATACGGCTAAAAATGAAAGTTTACTCCGATGATATCTATAGTTGGTGTTTAATTAATAGTTGTTTATAGAGTTTAAATTGTTACTCTATATAGCGCATATTTTGTTACCACCAGTATATTGTTTATGCTATATTAATGGCGCCTCAATATCTGACCGTCTTAGGCCTGAGTCTATTGGTTCTTAGAACAAATCATTCACTTAATTTACACTATAAGAGGATTCACAACATTATTACGTTAGTCTAAAATCGAGTGTGTTTTGAGCATTCCCCGTATTGGTGCAGAGGTCATTCCGGAAAGAGCTTTTCGACGAGGCGGCAATACGACTTGCCAAATCTTGCATCAAGACGCCCATCGAGATCGACCGGTTCAAGACCCTCGCCCATAACGCCTATCAGATTGCTGGTAATCATTTTTCGCTCTCTTTGAATAGCTACACCCTTCTATTTCACTTTTAACTATTCATTTTTAAAATCAAAATATTCTTCATTTTCAGTACCACTTTTCAGTCTTTTGGCTGATAAGAAAACCGGGTGCAAGGAAATTATTAATAGTAGCACAGATACTATTTCTATTAACAACATTAAAACATATGTATAAAAAATATGCAAGCCCCTGTGAAATTCAAACAGTTAATATAAATATGAACAAAAACGATTAAATTTATTTCTGTTTGCTTGAATTTAACGAATTAACATGTTGTTTTGTACATATTTTCTATAATCTTATGAGACTTATGTTTCTTTTTCAGTATCGAATCAACAGAAAAGTGACGAGTTTGCCGACGCCCCTGAGGAATTCAGAGACCCACTTATGGACACGCTCATGACTGATCCCGTGTTCTTGCCATCTGGAAAGGTAAACCAATTCATAAGAGTAAATTATATGTCATATAAATATATTAAATTTAGACTTTCGTGCGTTTCCGTATTCAAAATCCAGAAAAATATTTATTTTGAAATTTTTACTGTCCATCTTTATATTAATGTATAATAAAAAGTACCTACAGTCAGTGACGGACTAACCCTGTCGGGGGCACGGGGCGGCATTAGGTCCGTACCTACAACTTTTTACAACTGGTGCAGAAACTTGATTTTGTGTTTACACTACCTCCCCTGCTAAAACTACGAAACTAAGAAAGATAAGGCAGTAAAACCCCAATTTATGATTTGATCAAAGGAACTTTCAGCCATTTGGAGGCCCCCCAGGAAAAGAGGCCCGGGGCGGATCGCCCCCTCCCCGCCCCCTTAGTCCGCCACTGCCTACAGTGCCACAAACTTATCTGTTCGGTGGCCAAAACTGGAACTAAGACGCCATTGTTTTCAATTGGCATCATACTTTGCTCTTTGTGTCAGCTTATTATCATTGTGCACGACGCGTGGTATTTTTACTTTGTTTTGTGATACTTCATTTTTTTAAAGAATTTATTCGTAAATATTCATTGGCTTGTCGACTGCTATAATAAAACGAATTATTTGTGAATGAGAAGAAAGAATTTTTCTAAACTAGCTAAAATTATGAACCGTTAAAAAAAGAAAATAAACAAAAGCATTTGTTTTACATATGTAAGCGTAACAGCAGTTGAAATATTAGTAGAGATTAGCAATAAAGCAATTCACAAACTAAAAGTTTATTTTATTTATTCACGTTAGAATCCGGGTCAGGTAAAATATTATTGGGTTTTGTGTCATTATTATTACCCTAAGGGGGCGTACATAAATTACGTGAGATGTTTAAGGGGGGGAGGGGGTCGAGTCAAATCTCATCTAATCTTACGCTGGAGAGATGGGGGGGGTCTCGGCAAATATTACGCAATTTTTTTCTGATTGAAACAAAAAAAAAAATATACTATTTTGTTCCATTTAACCCAAATTATACGTGCTTAAGATTTAATCTTAAGCGTAATCGTATACGATTTAGATCATTCACTTAATCGTTCGAAAGAAAATAATTTAATTCTTCTTCTTCTTCTACTCTTTGGTTTTCATTTATATACTTTTACTTAAATTTGGCTTCCATAAAAATAATCTATGACTGAATTTGAAAATTCCCACATTTTGAAAAATCTCATGTGAGATTGGGGGATGGGGAGGGGGTTGAATAAAATCTCACGACATCTCACCAGGGGGGGGAGGGAGGGACAGAAACTTAAAAAAAAACACCTCACGTAATTTATGGACGCCCCCTAACAACTGTGTATGAACTTTTTATTTCGGATTTTCATGAGAACATATCGGACTCCCAGCGAAGTGTGATCTTCTTTTTTATAAATAAACAAAAATATTCTTTGTTCAGTTAATACTATTAAATTTTTTATTGGCGCTATTATGTATTGACGGTTTCACGATAATTCCAAGATTGGAATATCTAAGTTAAACATCATTTTTAAGCAAAAAAATCTGGTAGATGAGTACATTATGCAAAATTTAGCAGCAGTGACATTAATTTGAGGTTTCATTCAGAGTAAACGTGGTTACACAATCCGATAATATCTAAAATAGTATGAATATACCACATACCTTTCATTCTTAAGAATATTAATCAATCTTTAAATAGTATAATAAATTATTGTGTTGTTTAACTCAGGTGATGGATCGGTCTGTGATACTGCGCCATCTGCTCAACAGTGCTACCGATCCATTCAACCGACAACCACTGTCTGAGGATCAGCTCCTTCCTGGTAATTATTTCACTGTGATATTGAGTTATTCTAAACTAAGTGTAGCAACATTTTCATAGCATTTAATTGTAACAATTTTTTTATAATATCTACTTAAGTATTTGTTTGGTAAAGTAAAAAACATAATAACTTATCTTTCAGCGACCGAACTTAAAGAGAAGATCATCCAATGGAAGCGTGAAAAGAAGAGATCTCTTTCGTAAACAATGTAGGCTATTGACTTACATTATCTACAAAGTCTGATGTATATAATTGAATACAACACTTATATAAAGACTAAAATCTGGATATATCCAGCATTTTACGGACTATTGTCCGAATGCATGAACGTGAGATTATTCTAAGTTTGTTACATAGTGCGCAAGATTCGTGCAATGAATGTTAGAAATAGAAAAAATTGAGAATTAATGTAGAGGGGAAATCGTAACATTATACCATGTATCGTGTTCAGTACATCTACGCTGAGTTTATTTTCCATGTGTAAACGACCGCACAGTAACTCAAGGTTCGCAAATCTGCGTTATTTATATAATGCAGTCTCATTTTTTCAACATTCAGTCCCCTTTTAAGATCTGTGATTCTTTTTTGTTTGGATGACATTATTTTAATCTAAGTTTGAAACATCAAATATTTATATTTAAAAAGAAAGCCGATTGTATTATTAGACAAAACCATAGGGATTATTTAAAACCACATTGAATGTCCTCCATATTTTATATGTAAATGCAATTAATATCGAAAATGACTAGATTACCATAATTACAATTCGAATTTTAAATATTTTTCCAACCAGGTAATAGTGTTAGGCGTTGAGCTGGCGTTACATTAGTTTCCCTGATGAAGTATGTCCATACTTCGATTAATATTTTATCATTATAGTGACGCCAGTTTGTGTCAATTGCAAATTTAATAACAATAGTTTCAAGATCTCTTTAATGAAATTTCTTTTCAATAACTTATTCTGAATATTTGTTAAGAAAAGTTAATAATTTCATATTACTTTAATAACAACATCACAAGAAGTGATAAAGGGCCTAACACTTCATATTGTACCAGGTGCTCATTATGAACATTGACCCCAATATCTGATTAAAAAAACCTATGCATAAATAGAAATAAATATGAACGAGTGTTTTCTCCTTGCATTTTTAGCAATATCTCCATTGTAAAATTCGCAAGCAAATCATGTTAATTATGTATATTAAAATATAAAATAGGTCTGCATTAGTTTGACTAATGGTATAATAGAAATTTATCAACCCATACTTTAAAATTAATAAAAAATTGACATATGGAATGTTTGAAATGTTTTGTATTTGTGAAAAATGCGAAGAGTATTTTATGAATTTGATATCTGTTCACATATGAAATAGTGATATTATGTTAGATTTATTAGCAACATTATTTTAATTACATACTATAATATTGATTATGTGATTTTGTTCCTTTTTACATTAGTTATCATATGAAATGGATTTCCATAATGTTTGTGTTTAGAAAAATACTATTCTTAATATCAATAGCAAAATAATTCTCAACACATTTATGTATATTTTTTGTACTCTCATATATCAATAAATAATCACTGCCAAAACTGTCAGCGTATTGAAATATATATTATATATATATATATATATAGTAAAGCCATTCCTTCCATCAAGTTAATTTCTTTAAAATTATGTGGTCTCACTTGTATAGTATAATTTGGCTTGTATTTATCTTTATATTATGAAGATTATAATGCTAGAAGTCTCTTATGTTAATAAAGATATAATGATTATGCAATCTTTTTATTTCTTTTCTTTTTAAAGTAATTATCTATTTTTTGGTAGTTTGTCTCATCTTCATTGTATAATAAAGCTTAAGATAACTAAAAACTACTTGCTATTATAATAAGTTAATGCAGATTTAAGTAAAGATCAATTTTCTTATAAGTAAATAAAAACTAATTAAATAAAAGATTTCATTCATAATAATAAATATGTATTATAAGCTTAACATCACATAATACTTCTTTATAATAAATTATTGTCTTTACACTTAAAGTGAGATTGTATCCATTATCTTATTAATTAATGTTTCTTTCTAAAATAATTAAATACATAATTGGGTATAAACACAATTCACAATTTTTAATGTATAGCAGCCCAATGGTTCTATCATAACCAAATTAATACTGAACCTGTTAACTGAAAGGACTTAAATGTAACCACCTCATTTTTAGAGCCATATAAAAAATGCTAGGGTCGGCTGTTTGCAGTATCCTAGAATCCTCCCTCCATCCTACTGAGTAACTTTGGTAGTAAACTGCATATCTTTAAAATATAATCAATCCACATATTTTATTAATATTATTAATAGAGAGAGATGAAATTTAAATTAAATATCAAGGATTTTTTTTATTACATAAACCACTACCAGTGGTTATAATACAATAGTATCTGTGATGTGTTGGCTGTATGGATATAGTTTCTCGTTTCCTAATATTTATCAGGTTGCTTGAATACCACATACATTATGCATAACTCAAGGCAATATGATAAATAAGGATGTTCAAAACATAAATATTTATAAATAGTAGCTTGTCATAATTCCTAATGCATGGACAGTATATTAAATACTTTACATATAACATTAATATATATAATAATAAATTTCAGCAGTGAACTAAATTTGTATTATTATATAGGTAAGAGGTAGATAAGACTTAATATGTGTTTTATTTCTTTTAACTTTACTGTCTCACAAGATAGTAGTATGCAATTTAAATTAATAGTATTGTTATTATAATGATTGAAGTATACAATAAGTCTGTTACTCGAACATACATTTGTGTACGACTTCATTTACATTTGTATGCAAATAATAAAATATCAACAAGTCTTCCAAGGTTAAAACAATATAAATAAACAGCCACGTAATTCATATAGTTACATTATGTTAAATATTGGTATGTACAAAATATGAATCTAATAAAAAAAATAATAGTTTCATTCCATAAATCTGAATGAATCATTCATCCTAATTCCTAAAACTCAGAAATTTAATGGTCAATATTTAAATATATATATGTTGCAGCAAAGTGGTACAATCAGCCAACCAAAAAATAAATTGTTGAACGCGACATTCTACAATACGGCTGAACAAAGCTAAGCCATCTAATTAACTGTCAATTCATTTAGAATACCGAAATGGTAAGATTAAGAAGTAAAACAAAATAAATTTTTAGTGGGAGATTATATTTAAAACTATCTGTAATCAATACAGATACAGGACTGCCTTACAATTCTGTAAAAATCTAAACCAGAATTCAAGTTGACTTCAAAAAGTTCAAATTTAGAGTTCAGTTACAATTTAGAAACGCATGCTTTACATGTTTCTGTTTTGCTTTTGTCATTTCTGAAATAAAAAGAAATTTGAGAAGTTTTTATTAATTTGCACGTTGGGGCTCCCCCCTCACTCTTGGGCCCCATATAATTGATACGGCAGATACGGCGGTAGCTACGCCCCTGATTGGGATTTTTACAGAATTGCTCTGCTGTTCAAAAGATAATAACAAACTGTGTTAATGGTCTGTGTGATCCAATACAGAGAGCAACATACACACCCATTACATAAATGAGTTAATTTTAACTTCCATAATAAATTCTTAATACTAATATACTCATACAAAGACGATTCTAACAGCCACAGCGTCATCTATCAAAATGAGAGTAAGCAATGTATTTGACTACGATTGTTTTACTATGTTTATTACAATTTCGAAACTTGGTGCTACAATAGTTAATAACAACATAAAATAATAAACAAAAAGTAATTTGGGTCTTGTAGGTCATGTGAAATGACCATTTACCATTAGTCCAAAAAAAAATCCTTCACTTTTCAATTCTCTAAATTGTAACCAGAACTTTAAGATTTAACAACATTAAGTTATTTTTCTTTAAGATATATTAAAACTAAATAATTGTTTTGGCGGCTTTTAAATCAGCTTTCTTGTTGAACGGTCCAAATGTAATAATGATTTAAATGACACCATTCAATTAAATGGCTAGCCGTCCAATTGAACAGATGTTAAACCAGTTGGCTGCAACATATATATATTTTATAAAGTTATTAAAATTCTGTATTCTATCGTAGAAGAAATGGAAGTTTACTGCCAAAGAGACAAGAAATAACATATAACATACCAAAATAGAAGTTTAATCTAGCTGTTTGCCGAGGCACATACCTCATTGTTTCTGCACTTCGAAATCTCCTCTCTATTTCAAATGCTCTTGGTAATGTTAGCATAGGCAATAAAAACCACAAAGAGCAACGAACTGATGCCACTACAAACATTATATATGGAGTGAACAGTAAAAATGCATACAGCAAATAAGAAGCTGTTCTCCCAATTAGTATTGCTAAAGTAACAATTTCAGCCTTACTATCAGTTTCGAGATCTCTAGTATTATTACTATGTAAAATAGCCTCAGTGTTTAAAGCAAGAGGTACAGCATAATAAATTATAGGCCAGTCTACTCTACCAGTTTGAGCTAAAAATGCAAACACTACAGACACAGGGCCAAATATGACTAAAACTAATATATCACCTAGGGCTATGTATTTCAATCCAATACCTCCTGTATAAAGAAATGATGAGGATAGTCCCCCAAAGTAAACCAAAGCTAGATGCTCCATTCTAGCAGGTGAAAGTATTACAAGGGGGACAAAACAAACACATCCAGCTAGATACAGAATTGCCCCCAAAGATACCACTTCATCAATTGTCAAGATGTGATCTACCAAAGTTCGATCATCGGATTTACGGTTGTCTATACCCTTGACAAAATCGAAGTATGTATTGACAACGTTTCCAGCTCCATGGACAGGTACCACAGTGCACAACGTCAGCATCAATGTGGCCCAACTAAAGCCGCTATCGCCGGGCAGACGATAAGCAAGTGCGGCACCAAGCAACGTCGGCAGCAGGCTGGCGCTCAAAGACCATGGTCGTAGGGCTAATACATATGTACGCATTTTTATTAGAGGATTGCGATTGGGCATATTCATTTCTTTCGGCTGTTCCAAAAGGTTCCCCTCTGCAGTTTGTATCTCCATTGCATTTTCCATTGTATAAATAAATTTATAGGCAAAAATTTTTTTTTATACTTATGTATACTAATAAATTTCTGTCGCGATATTCATTACTCACATAAAGATAAAACCTAAGTGAAATTACAACTAACACCGGCGTACAAACGACTTCTATTGCAAACAGAGAGAGAACACACACATAATAAATAGCAGATTTTTTTTGCAATTTTCCCATTCCATTAGGGGGGGAAGGCAAAGGGTACTAAGCCCATACAGCCTTGTCTAAAATCTATCTTATGACGAAGTGCCACAGGCGCAGCGTTCTTGTCCCTGTATGACAAAGCATTCCCTTACTAATTTTATGTAGTTGGAGATCTATCTAGAGGGGGCACCACCAGCATAATTTTGAAGGAATACCTAACTAAGTACATACTAAATACTTTCTATATGCATCACTTTTTATGTCTACCTACTTCTCATTCTTCATTAAACAGATAATAGCTATATCAATAGCATCAAATCTACTCTAAAAATTTATAGAATGATGACGATGGTCAGTGCCTTAACTATACCGTTTGAAGCCCGTGGCAACGGATATTCATTTTTTTTCTAATTGCGTAATAATAAATGTCAGGAGTAAGGAGTCTCCTCTGACCGGGGGCCCTTTCCAGTTGGGGGCCCGTGGCATTTTGCCGACTTGCCATTTTCAAAGTATCGTTTCCTAGGTGGTATCGTTGAAATCCTCATCATGTCATCTGCTGAGCATTATCTGTCAGAAAAGTTGTATAAATTTGACATTTCATTTTAAGTTTGAGTTATTTATTTTAAATTAGTTAATTTAAAAGTGATGCGACTCGAGAAGGATTTGTGAATTGAGTCACTAGAATCAATTACCTACTTCACTCGAGTCATATTAGAGTTTTCAATTCACTAGAGCACAGAAATAAATCTAGTTAGAAGGAAAATGTTCGTCGATTTATATGGAGACCGAGCGTGCCACTTTTTCTGTAGGTATCATGACGTCACGATCTTAATTTAGTGATGGAAGACATAATTTCACTTGCATCGAATACATGTTGTATTTGAAACGGCATACCGATTCTTATCGATTGAAAAATCGATATCGATCGACGGAGACCAACGTGTACAGTCTGTCTATAAAGTCATGAAAAGAATGTTTGAGGAACTAACATTAGACACAAGTATGACAACATTGAATCAAAGTACATCGACTGTCAACAACTTGATTTTTTAGCTCGATTTTCTGCATTTTTGATTTGTTTTGATTAAACTGAAGCTACTTCTTCTAAACTCCGTCGAAAAGTGTTAAAAATGAAGAGAATTAATCAGAGTGAAGCTTAGGATATTATTTATAAAGTTGGATATTATTTATAAAGTTGGATATTATTTATAAAGTTGGAACAAGAAGCTGGACACATTTTATCATATTTGTAGGATGTTAAAGCTCGAACGGCAGTTATGGCTGGTATGTAATCGTGTTACTGATTGAGTTTTGGTTACCAGAAGTTTCAAATTTACTAAATATATGAATTTAAGTCTAAATAAGTATTGATTACATTATGCATTTATAGGTTAGATTAAAAATGTTAGAAGGCTATATTGTAGTGCGGCCCGAACTTTCAATACTTTTGGATAATCAAATTTATCATTGATTTTAATCTGAATAAAAAATATACCTGTTAGGAATGTACGATTTTTACCTACGTACGCCAATAAAAAGCTTGTGCTTTATATTACTAAAATTAAGCTTTAGATTCCATTCTTTTTGCCAAATACCTATAGGTATTACATTTTTAAAACTTACTTTCAGGAAAATCAGAGAATATAGTGATACGTATTGTAGATGAAGGTTATAAAAATGGTGGCATATTTGAAACCCCTGGGAAACATAGATAGTCGTCCTAAGAAATAAATGGTTAACTGCAACATTTGTGCACTTCGACAAAAGATTCAGTTCTTTTACTCTGTGAAAAAAAGAGGTACCTACATGAAGAAAACATCAGTGGATTGCCAAAACCGATCTGGATTTTAATTGTAGCCTAGAAGTTCTGCGTTAAATTCTGAAATATATTGGGTTTTCTTACAAGGAGTGTCAAAGTAACAGGCTTTAATCGAACACAAGCACACATTGCAGTAAAACGAGAAAACAACTTGGCAATTATAAAAAAAAAGATTTATCAAAAATTACGATTACTATATTGTAATCTTCAATGTAGAATAAACTCATTGTCTACGAATTATACGCCTTTCTTTACCTTTTCTGGGGTAATAAAAGTAAAAAAAAATCCTACTATCAAAATCATTTGTCTCACTACACAGGGTTGCTACGTGCACGATCGCAGCGCCCTCAATTTTTTTCATGACTTTATAGACAGACTACCATTTTGCTTAAATATTATGTATATGTCACGAACTCACGAATGTAATTTAGTGAATCGGCGCAAAAAAGATTTTATGCGATAGAATAGAAATCGGCATTTTTCTGTGGGCAAACACTTTGTAGTAGCCGCTACCCCCTCCCGACACGCTACACATTTTTACGTCCTGTGTTGTTATGTTATGTTTCACGGCGGGCTTTTCTGCAACTCGATACTCAGTGCCTATTTTGCATGACACGGGGTTGCTTTAGTCCTGCCACCCCAGCTCCTCCAGGAAGCCCGTAAGATCTCGAACTCTGCCGCATGCTTCCACTAGTATCCTTGGGCTTCATAGATATGTAGTCCTTTTGTCTTAATAGGCTCCTGCATTCCAGTATCACATGAGTGCACAAGCGCTTATGTGATACTGGAATGGAGACTGAGGAGACAATCTCCTCAGTCTCCATGCACGCCCTGCTCAGAGGACTGTCAGAATAACCCATGTTATATAGGTGTTTGTTAAAGTTTCCATGTCCAGTAAGTATACCTACTATTTGCCTTAGAGTCCTGTTGCTTCAATCCATTTATTTTTAATATTAGGATCATACGGAAAACTAAAACAAAAATTACAGTATAATTCAATATAAAATTAATTATCCTTTCTTCTGCTTTCAAAAACGATATTTTTTTAATCGGGTAAAAAAATCGCATTGTACAGCACTATTCTCCATTTTTGACAGAAAAAATGATAATTTGTCCTCCAACAAATTGACCTTGAATTATACATCGATGGTTTTACAAGCACAGCAAATTTGGACTGTCAAATTAAAGCCGCAATGGAAAGCTATTACTGGACACATGACCGTTTTGATAAAAATAATACGGAGCAACAAAACTAATGATTTTTAATTCAAAATAGATATATCAAGGCAAATAGTTACTTACCGATGGAAGGAAATACCTCGACTATAAGATCCAACCATATTGGTGGTGTTTGAGCAGGTAATTATCGAACAACGCATCATTTTAAATTTCGTCCAACACCGATTGCGATCGAAAGTGGACTGAGCCTCGCGGCGAGCAATGAAGCTGTCTAGACGTCGTTTCGGCACGCGAAGTACGTACACTTTTTCCTTCTAACTAGATATATTTCTGTGCACTAGAGTAAAAAAATTGCAAACGAGTACTCGAGTAAGATTTCTCTAAGTAGTTTTAAACAAATACTATAATATAAATAAAACACACATTAAAAATAATTTTGACATATTATTTATACAAGTAATCAAGAAAATAAAAATTTAGTGGTATTGATAAATAAATTAGAGTGGTAAAGTGACAAATAGTGGCAAAAGAATCAATGAGGAAGTATTAACGAAAGCACTAAAAAAGCCCCTCCGCTAGATGGCGACTTCAGCAAAAGTTGATTTTTGCAGGAAACAAATGGACCAAAGACAATCATTTCCGTTCTTTTCAATTAACATATAAAAAACTGAATTTTGAAAAGTTAGAAACTTAGATATCAATACAAATACGAAAAAGTACAAATAGAATATGAGTTGTTTATTGAGTTTTAAAAAACTAATTTAATTTTAAACTTGAAAGAAAACTGGATAGGTTGTCATGGAGAAATCAAGAACGTACCGTAGCGACATCTAGTTTGATTTCGGGAACTAATGTTTTTTTAAAATACTTCCTCATTCGATTCACCGAGTTGACTCGATAACTTGCTTCGAGTGATTATTTTTTCCCGTGAGTAGGTACGTTTAGAAAAATTATCTAGAGTGCAAAGAGTACTTAGTATCTTCTTCTTGGTCTGTGGTACTAGAGTGACTCGAGTAAAGCAGGAGTCGAGTCGCAGTCGCATCACTACAATAAAAATTAAAAAAAAAATTCGTGAGTGCGTGAAAATAACCTGTATTTTGATGTTGTGTTATTTTACTATAGAATAATCTGTTATTGTAAGCCATGGTAGCTAGTTAATTATCATCGAATACATAATATTCCGTGATTTATGAAAACATCTGTAAAATTGCTAATAACTTAAAAAGTTGGCTCCTGGTTTTGGTAAGTTTAATTAATAAAAAAATAAACAACGGTTGAACGGGAAGTATGTACGTTTATTTTTTATGTATTAATGTATTTTTAGAAACTTTAGATCCTTCGCTCCAGGTCTCTAGATTCAATTTCAATGTTTTATTTTTATATACTAAATGGAAAAATATAAGAAATAATCATATATTTGTTTAAATCATCATTATTTATGTTGGAATGAGTATAAGTGTTAGAATGGAAATAGGAGTGTGTTAGGCAGGAACCCCTTTTAATTGTTATCATTTTATTTAACACTATGATATACAATAATACTGCAAATAGTAATCCTAGTAGGAATATCCCATCCAATCTCAATATTTTAATTACATAATCTCAAAAGACTAACATTTTTATAAGACCAACATGCGAAATAATCGTGTCGGATACCAGTTCCCTGAATTTAATTTTATAAATTCAGTAAAGCAGGAAGCACTATAAATAGGAATATAATCAAGCTATAGTTATTTATAAAGTACCCATATTATGTATCTGTAGCATTGTAGGTAATAAAATAAAGTGATTGTGATATGTGATCCTAAAAATCTAAATCTATAATTTTTTTGTCTAATATTAGATAATAACATACATTGATTTAACAAACATGTATATAAAAATTCATAAATAATATTATGAATATAAGTATAGTACACAATATTACATTCTTTAAAAAAGATTTAAAAAAGACTTATCAATTTGGCCCAGGGCAATTATTCTGAATAACAGCAATAGCAGCTCCTTTTGCTGCATCCCCTCCACATGTAAACTCTAATGGTAGACTGTAGTAGTGTTCAACAGCTCTTTGCAGTACTGCATTTCTGGATAAGCCAGAACCATTGCCAACAATTCTTTTAATTTTTGCATTAAGCAAAATATCCTTAGGCATCATATTATGCAAATTTTCAATTAAACTATTACATAGAGACTTAAACACTTGTCCTAATTGAATATTAGATAAATCAATATTTTCTACAGTAACTTTAGCAGATGGCATGTGTCTCTCTCCAAGCAAATGGGGGCTTATCTTCATTGAAGTTGAAGTTGGTGCTTCTAATCCAATGGATATTAATTTTTCCCATACTTTAGATTGAGGGATTGGAAAGCCAAATTCTAGCATCCACTGTTGTAGCATTTTCACAAATGTTGCAAGTACATTCCCACCATTCAAAGAAGCTGCAGCAACTAAGTAGTTATTATTGAAATATGGTAAATGCTCAATTGTACTGTAACCCAAGTCGGATATGTCTTTTACAACAATAGCTAACTGAGCTGAAGTAGAGATATTAAGAACAGCGTCTTGCTCACTCTCTAAAGTAGCAAGAATTGAGCATTGCAAGTCGCCTAATGCAGCACCTATTGGAGTTCCCTCAGGAATGCCACTCCAAGAACTATTCAGTTTACCAGCATACAATCCACTCCTAATAACTTCTGGCAATAAACTTATTGGAAAATTCACAGAATTTAATATTTCTATATTCCATTCATTCGATTCTGTGTTGTAGTAACCCCAGCTGGCTGCATTTTGGTCAGACATTATTGGTTTTTTTAAGCCACATAACATAGATACTACAAAATCTTGTACAGTAGCAGCATATGTATAGTTTTTTAATTTTTCTGGTTTATACTTTAACATCCATAACAAAGTAGCACATCCATAACCAGAAAAACATTTCAGGTGTGAGTCTGGTTTTGGGAGTGATTCAAGAAATTCTGGTTTACACCTTGTGTCTTGCCAGGTATACAGAGCTGACATATTGTTTCTAACTGCTTCAAATCGAATGACCACATCATCTTTTTCTACTTTTTCCCAAGCACTGTAAATAAATAAAAATCACCATAACTTAACAAAACTCAAAATTTAAATATAAAAAAAAATTAAATATTTATACCCATCTCTCCAAAGCACAACCCCATGCATTTGACCACAAATTCCAATATTTATGACATGGCGCAAAACATCCCTGGGAAGACGTGACACGCAGTAGTGTAGTGCTGAAACTATTTTTGGAACATCCTGTTTATTGCCCTCTATGCCTTGATCACTCGGTATGTTGGCTGCCGTATCCTTAGTTTGTTTGGCTACAATTTCTTTCAACTTAGGATCATAAACACAAGCTTTTACAGAAGTGGTTCCAATATCAATTCCTAATGTAAACGCTTTCTCCGCCATTTCAGACGAGTTCTTTAATTTTCAAGTTGACAATAGACTCGATAATTAAAAGTCAAATTCTGTAATGATGTATAATATGCCGCGCTTTGACGCAGGGAACGTAGTCACGTATCTAGATTAAATATTATACTGCGGACGTATTGCAGTAGTCGTTGGCTGAGCGACGATGTGGGCGGTGGGCGGTTTGACCTCGCGTCGTAACAGTAGGTATAGCAACCGAGCGCCACCGGTTCCACCCGAGTTACTGATTGATTACGTAAATGTTGACATGTTTTTTTATCTCGACGATTGCCTGATCGATTGTTTATAACAGATACTAATAATAAAATACTTGTTAATATTATTTAAAGGTTCTTTAAAAAAGAGTCTGTTGAATTTCATTCTCGAGATACATATATAGGTAATTTTTATTTAAATTTTGGTCTCTAAGTAGTTAAGTAAAACGCTCCAGTAATGTTTAACAGAAAGCAAATCATTAGCCCAATAATGTCTCCGCTTCTGGTGCACAGGCGTTTTCTATTTACGGAATGTTAGTTATTTATAGAAAGAAAAAATATGTGATTCTTTTTTCAAGTCAAATAGGGAGAAAATGTGTGATTCATTTTTTTTTCAAATGAAAGGATACCAATGCCCGTTTTCACTAACTTGAAACGAGGCGTAGCTTAACTAAAAATCACTTAATATAAAGAATAGAATCAGCAGATCTGTCGTTTCACCCAAAGAATACAGAAAAGAGGTAAGAAAGACGGTCATGCATCCTTTGTACGAAAACCGATGTCGCCAGTCTTGTCCCACTTTTCGCCCGCCATACATCAGACGAAATATTAGATTAGACCAATTTTGCAAAAGGTATACACACACTTGCATTTTAAACATGCCACTCAGAACGCTCCAATATAACCAATCACGCCCAACCGTAACAGATATCTAGAGTGGGTAAGAAACGTGTAAAAGTCATTTTAATTTGACTTATTTTATTATTTCAATATCGATAGAGGATACTGGAGTAATGATTTCTTTAGATTAAATGTGATATTATCTGTTTTCTTCAGATATAATTACTTAAAAAACCATGAATTTTTTTATGCTTGTTGATTAGTTGGCTGATTCAGTAAAAAATATTTAAATCACTTCCTAATATTGAATAGGTTCTAGTCGTGCTTAAATATTTATTTGCATATATGTTAGTTCGTTTTTTTTGTATAAATAATATTAGTAGGTATTTTTTTACGTTACGATACTCGATTTCGTATCAAGTAAAGAAATAAGATCGGCAACATCTCTTAAATAAAACTAGTAATATTGACAAACAATATAAATAAATGTATACAAAATAAAAAAAAATACCACCGGTACAATAAATGCCATTGGAACAGATTCCGACGTTCTAAAAAGTACCGTAAAATGGGGTGAATAGGGACAATTCCCAACTTTATGAACAATTTGAAGATAATTGTTGAAGGATATATTGCTATATCAGGATCAAAATGATTGAGTCTTGATTGTATCTTTGTAATCTTATTTAAAACCATGCAATAAGTATTCCAGTTTAAGCTAAAAAGGCAAAAATATATGCTATCCCTATTTACCCAGAAATTGGGGTTAATAGGGACGAAAATAGAGTCAGTAGAGAAATTTGCTAGGGCTGGCATTGGCTTTGAACTTGTACACGTGATGCATATCTGAAAATGGTAAATGTACCTTTAATATATTTGCAACACAATAAATTAAAAGTGCATAATTAATTAAATAAAAGTTCTACACAAAAACATCATGAATAAACCAAATTCTTGCCTATACGTATATTTTTTTTATAATTAATTAGTGACAACCTATTCAGTCGTTCCTATTTAACATATTCTCATCCCCATTGACCTCTTTCGTTTTTATTAATACCTGAGGCGTCCCCATTCACCCCGAAAACAACAGATTTTACACGCATTTCTAAATTATCAAGAAACATTAAAATCCAATAAAAACTGAGACTTACCTATAATATATATGTAGGCCCAAATACTAAATAACGTAGTAATAAGAGAGAACAAAGTTTCTAACACACAAAATAATTACCACCACAACAAGTAACTTTCAAATTGGATTTTTGACCGTTTCTACCTAATGTCATGTATATTTAGTGTTGCTATGAGAACTTTCAATATTCTACTATCACACCACAAAAAATGGAAGACTTTTTAAGGAATTTAGTAGTTATATTAAGCGTCCAAATATTTTCCTGGTTTTATCCCTATTCACCCCATTTTATGGTATTGTTGTTAATGATTTAAAATAGAAAATCTAATTTTCTGTTACAATATTAGGAATATTCAAACAAACTCTTCGCTACACTAAACTCATTATTAAATGAAATTCATATACTTATGCATAATATACTCAAAGGAAGTCAATATGGTAGTCTAGAATAGGGTTACATTTTATTTATTGGTATTGTTAATCTCTGATTAAATTTATCTTTTTTAACCTCTATTTTTATCGTCCTTACTTTTATTTAGTTTTTACTTACTAACACACAAAGATTCGATTAAATATTTCAATGGCTTTTCACTAACAATCTACCGTAATCTATTATGTTACTATTTAGAACGGGGATTTCGATGTGTTCTTTACATTACGTGCTTAGTGTGACCTAATGATACTTGATATTTTATTGATTTGACGCAAATGAGTCAATATTGTGGATAAGGTAACATTAAACCATGCCGCTAATTCCTGGGTAGTTTGAATAGGATCGGCTTCCACCATCACTCTTAATTCATCGTTATTCACCTGTGTAGGCGGTCTTCCTCGTGGCTCGTTCTTCAAGTCGAAGTTTCCATCACGAAAGCGTTTACCCCAAAATCGCACGGTGCGTTCATTAGCAGACCCTCTCCAAACGCAACATTAACATTACGGGCTATTTCTGCCGCGTTACTTTCTCGTCTGAACTCGTATTCAAAAATCACTCGAATTTTCGCAGTATCTATCTTTCTTGTCTAAGCTGAATAACAAAAACAATTGAAAGTCAATATTCAAATGTTTCACATTTTTTAAAAGAAGAACATCATAGAAACCATGTTAAAAAAGTTTCTTTCCAAAACCTCAAACCATGAAGATTCTATGTCAATTCATGAAACATATTACAATAATACTGCAATTTCATATTTTAACCTCTATTATTAAAAACAAACGTAACAATAATATATAATTTCCGGCCACTATGCACCTAAGAAACGTAACTGTTGACGATGGATCGCATATTGCAAACCTTTTTGCCACTCATTTTTCTTCAGTCCACTCCACGATGAATGTTGATCCTTTGTATCCTATGTCAAATCATCATCATGTGCTTAATGGAAACTTTCACTTTTCACGGACTGGGATGTCTTGACCAAACTTAAGTGTTTGGACCCTGAAATAGGCGCAGGTCCTGATCAAATTTTCCCAGTGTGCTTTAAAATGGCGTCATCTGAATTAGCTCGTCCTCTAATGATGATCTACAATGCTCACTGAAGGAGTGTTTCTATCCAACTATATGGAGAAAATCCAGAATTGTACCGATATTCAAGAAAGGAGGTCAAACGGATATCAAAAACTGTAGGCCAATCTCCATTTTATCATGTCCATCCAAATTTTCGAGACGCTGCTGTATCCACTTGTCAGTCGACATCTGGAACAAGTTATTTCTAACAACCAACATAGAATCAGAAGTGGTTATTCCGTACAGACTAACTTGAGAAATTTTATATTTGAATTGGCGCTTGAAATGGAACAGCAACATCAGGTTGACGCCGTGTACACAGATTGGCAAAGTGTAGTGTGTAGTAGTGCTAGGCCTGTGGTAACTACGACTCCGTTTTGGGTTGGTTCAGATCATATTTGGCTGATAAATAACAGTCCGTAGTGGTCAAAGGTAATGAATCTGTAAACTACGTTGCTAAATCGGGCGTATCACAGGGGTCCCACCTTGGTCCACTGTTGTTTTTAGTCTATATTAATGACATATCGTCTTGCACAAAGTGCTCTTTCATTCGATATACTAGGCAAAAAAAGACATCTTTCCTCTTCCTATTGCATTAACGACGAAACTGCTGAAAGAGAATGAAACCCGAGATTTGGGAGTAGTCATTGATGATAGGCTCGATTTCACAGCGCATATAAACTTAATAGCAAAAAAGCATCACAAATGCTAGGTTTTATCAAAAGAAACTCAAAGTCTTTTCGTCCATTCACAAAGCTTTATTTGTTTAACTCCTTGGTTCGATGTCAACTACAATATTCCTCGGTGGTTTGAAAATTGAATGGATTCGGCGAAGATTTACCAGATAGCGTTTATATCCCCGGGTATTTTCCAAAGATACCCCTACAAGCAGCGCTTTGTACACTTTAAAATGACCTCCTTGCGCAATCGTCGGAAATTGTATGATCTGATATTTCTCCACAAATGTATAAATGGTGTAATAAAATCGGAAAAAATGTTAATATTATCACCATTACTGTACCATATAACATACCAAGGTTTTCTATTCCCGCATCTCGGACTAATGTTTTTAGGCATTCACCGTTACCTCGCATTTCTGCTGCATATAATAATTTCGGTTCTTATTTGCCTAATTTAGATATATTTTTCATCTCGCAGTTAAGTTTTAGTCCTCTCTCTCTCTAAAGCGTTGCTGTGACCGTCAGGATCCATATTTTGATTCTTATATTATTATGTTTTAACATCTATGTAAGACTATGGTTTGCAATAAACATTTTAGTATTTGTAGGTTATCAATATGCCGTGGGACTTAATTTCAAGTTTTTTGAATATAAATAAATAGATTAGACTATTATAAATTTTAAAGTTAAAGTTTAAAAGTTTATTTTGTTTCAAAATAGTGAGCGAACTCAAACATAAAAAATAAATACATTGAGTAGATACTATTTAATTTTCAGAGGAATGGGGAAGAAAAACAAGCAATCCAGTCAATTACAAGAGAGTAGTACAAAACAGAAATTGCTTAACTATCAATGTGTTAAAAAAAATAGCAATATGGGCACAAAAGTCCAAAATAAAAATAAACATCTTCCACGTGTTACTCAGGATCCAGTTGATGAAGCCAAAAATAATTTAAAAAATAAGGAAATTCAAAGAAATGACGATATTAAACCTGATAATAGTGCTAGCATATGCAATAATCATAAAGCTTTGCAATCTAAGAGAACAGTATTCATTGACGATGTGCCGCATAAAGTTAAAGATCATTCTGGAGAGACAAGTTTATTGACTAAACAAGATTCTCTACAAAAGCAAGATGAATTTGAAAATGAGGACTCTGTGCAAGATGAAGACATTGACAAATTTTGCGATGAGCTTTCACCAGATGATAACGAACAATTTGAAAACTGGGTTAAGTTAATAGAAGCTAAATTGCATAGTAAAAAATAAAGTTCTATAATATTGTTTACCTTTTTTTGATATTTTTCAGTATCAATAGTTCACGACATTCTTTTGATAATTTTGATTTTCCAACAGACTTGAAAATCCAAAATGAGTAGGTTATATGTTCGACGGCGATGTTTGTTTTTTACGTATGTTCACAGATATTTCGGCTGATTGTTGACTGATTTTATAAATTCTTTTTTATCCGACAGCTTAATAGACCTAGGTGGTAATTTAAATTTTATTGAAGTCGAATCACTAGTTTTTCTTTTAAAACAACAAAATACACTTCTCACCAGATATCAACAAAATATTAAGATATGTTTATTTCAGCTAAAAAACAAAAGATTACGCATTTTGAATTCATTCAAAATACGAAAGCAGGATTCTCTATGTTCGTTAGGAGTATGTGTACCTATGTCGCAGCCAAGTGCTAAAATCAGACAACCAATTGGGCGGCGAGCCCTTTTATTGAATTGCGCCATTCCATTAACAGGCAAACTTTAGATCAACCGAGAATTTACGATCTGTAATGTAATCAATACTATAGGACTGGGTGTTAATGGTCCCTATAACCAAATACAGGAATCTAACGTACACACTCATTACGCAAGTGGGTTAAGCTCAAACTTTCATAATATATTATTAAGGGTATGTTTCGATATACACTGCGACCACTGAACAGTATGACGTCAATTTAGTATACTGGAAGCCCGTTCCTTTATAGCTAGTTATACTGGTGACTTTTTAAAACGGAACGCAGTCCAGTATACTGTTAATCCTATTTTTTGGCGACATTTTCAAATTTGTTAATGCAAGGTGAATATAAATATAATGATTCCTTCTTTTCAAAAGAAAATATTATAAAATTGGAAGATTGTATAAAAAAAATATTTATCCATCTTATAATAAACGTAAGTATTTTTTTTTTGTTTATTTAGAAACTTATCATTTTCTGATTCTGTTTCGACTGATCACGTGATCAAAAGCACTGCGAGCACCTTACCTCAAAATCTCCAGTGCTCACAGTACAAATATGGCGGCAATTTATGACGTCATGAATTTCCCTAGGGTACTGTAGCAGTGTACTGGCAGTCCATAACGGAACGGATTTTTCAGCAGTAAGACCACTGCGCAGTGCTCGCAGTGCATATCGGAACATACTCTTGATCAAATAATTATTTAACTATAAAACCGGGTGTGCAATGAGGTAGTATTTGAAAAAAAAAAACATTACTTCCCGAATTCAAACTAGACGTCGCTACGGTACTTTCTAGATATCTCCATGACAACCCTTCCGGTTTTCTTTCATGTTTAAAGGTAAATTAATTTTCAAAACTCAATCAACAACTTATATTCTATTCGTAATTTTTCGTTATGTATTGATATCTACATTGCGAACTTTGCAAAGAACAATGGCCATCTGCCTAACATGCTTGGACCAGTAAAATCGAATAAAACGTAACTTGATGAAACATATGTTATTTTGTTTGCCTATGCAACTAGAACAAAGAAAGACATTAAATATATTTTTAAAAGCTGGGAGTATCGAGTAATTGTGTAATATGTTTTTGAGGTTATGTCGTATTATTTAAACTGTATCATTTGAGTTAGAGGTATTATAGTTGAAATATGTAAAGCACACGTCAGATAATGCCTAATCGTAGTCCTAGAAGTGCATACTTTCACTTAATACTTCAAACTTGCTCCATATCTGATATATTATATTATCATAGCTGGGCACCGTTAATCAAATAGTTAACTTCGTTAATCGTTAATCCGCTACAAAAAAAGTTAGCTTCGTTAAACGTTAAAGCGTTACATTTCGGAAGAATTAACGCAAGTTAACGTAAATCGTTAATCCGTTAATATGTGTAAAATTGCATTTTTATATCGTTGCGTTAGTGAACTTATAAAACTTGTTGGTTTAGGTTCTGGAAGTTAATAGGTTAGGAATAAAACAAAATACTTGTATAATTCAAATGTGTAATTTAATCGTCGGGCATAAGGTGCATATTCCCCTTCATGAACATTAACATGTTGAAGTTCTCGTCTGAAAGCGAGGCTCGTTTTGGTGTTAAAATGTCTTTACCCGTGGAAAACAGACGTTCAACTGCAGCGCTTGAGGGTATAGCAGTATTGTATTTAATAAATAGATTTATGAATATCTGTTCCCCGAGGAATGCAGCATCGTTGAACGAGTCTTTTGATTTCATGTCCAGCCACATTTTAACGAGACTTTGCGCTTTACTCTTTAAAGAGTTGGAGCTCTTTGGTTTTTCTATAGACCGAGTGACAGAATTGAAAAAGTCTTCCTCCTCGTCATCATCGTTGTTACTCGCATTGCTCCCTCCGCCAGTTAAACTATCTCTGTCCTTCGAATTTTCCGCTGCTTCTTGTCGTAAAGCATCTTCTACCTTTTTTTCCATGCTCTTTTTTACTGCATCCACTCTACTGCTGTCATACGTTTCCAGCCATATCAACCGGAACTTTGGGTGAAATGCCGCGGCAAGTAGGCACTGTTCATCATTCAGGAGTGGACCAAACCTTTTCTCTATGCCATTTAATAAGGCATTGGCTAAAGCTGTGCAATTTACTAGGCCCTTAGATTTAATATTTTTTAATTTATAGACAGTTGCTGCAATCGTCGGTAGTAGTGATCCGAGATATGCTTGAGCTTCTCCTTGGATACGATCGAGGGCATTCGCGACAGGTGCCATAACCTGTAAATAAGTATTTAATATAAGTATTGATATGATGTGGAAAGAAAATAACTTTACTAAAACGTTAATTTAAACTATATACATATATGAAATTACCTTTGCGTACTCCTTCATTACAGTCACATCTTGGTCATTGAAAGTTAGAATTTTTAGTTGAGTCATAACCCTGTGAAGAGAAGGCCTTTTTGTTTCCAATATACTGTTGAGAACGACAATAGCATCATACAGAGAGTTCCACCTCGTCGTATTTGGAAGGACAAGTCGTCTGCCTAATTCAGCGTGAATGCTATCTGCTGCTACCGTACTACGTGATTGCTGATTCCAGAGAGTACGTGCCTTGGCTAATGCACTTCTGTAGGGAGTCTTGAAAACAGTTATTTGTAGAGCAGCATCTACATCTTTGCTAGCGACCAGATTGAACGTATGTGCAGCACATCTCATGTGAATTGGCAAAGTATTAAAGTTTTCTAATATCTGTTCATTGATTTCATTGCAATGGAGACGATCAGGAGCATTCAGTATGTTTTCTACTGAAATAAATTCTAAGTCATCATTTTCTTCTGAGTTTGGATTTAAAAGATTGGCAATATCAGGGTCAAATTCAGACTCTAAATCACATGATGGCAACTCTGGAAGTATGTCGATCTCCGAGCCGAATTGCACAAATGCCTTCACAAAGTTACTGCCATTATCCGTAGTAGTCCTAAAATAATGTAATTACACTTTAACTTTAGCTGTATTTTATGACATAAATAAACGTCATTCGACGGATATTGTTTTAAAAATAGATCGAAAAAGGTTTTATCTCAAAAAATATATCTAGAGGTAATAATCCTGAAGTATTTATTTTATAGTAAAAAATAATATTGAATATTTACATGTATTTATTTTTCTGACAACCATACTTAGCTACGAAAACTGCACATTGATAACGATCATTACTAATGTACATCGCAATACCTTTGAGAATATGTGTACAAAATTTCATGTTGATCGGCTAAGTAGTTTCTACGTGAAAGCGTAACAAACGAACAAACTCACATTCACATTTATAATGTTAAGTAAGGATTACGTAACCGATCCACATCACCGTAGGTCACATCACGAAAAATAGACTTAATTGACCTTGTGATTTTTTTATCTATGTGAAATTCATAGTGAATATCTATCATTGCTTGGGCCAGGATATCGTATGTATGATGACCTTTTAGGCGTATGCACGTTAATACTGCATGCATTCTGGCTCTTGTGATAGCATCTAACCAGTGAACTGTCATGCCCAAATAACTTTTGTTGTGAGCTGACCAACAGTCAGCCGTCGTTGCCACCCAATCAATTTTTCCAAGTAAACTGAAATTAAAATTATAAACACATCACGTAAAAAAAATGCACTAATAAATAAATGAAAATTATATACATATGTATATGCATGCATACCTATTTTATGAACCCCTAATTATTTTAACTTTTTTCAAATAAAATTATACGTACGTAGGTATACGTAAGGCGACGTTTATCTGTTAAAAATAAATAGGTATTTATTTTTATTTTAGTAACTTACCTAATAAGGTGTTGCTTCAATTCAATGTGTTCGTCAGTAATGCGTCTACCCAAAGTTCTTCTTGAAATTGAATTTTTGCTCGGGTTTAACGTTTTTATCAACGCACCAAAAGACTTGCTTTCGACAACATGTAAAGGAATCATGTTTGAAACAAATAAATTTACTATACATTTGTCCACTTTGGCTTGGGGTACACCGCTGCCAGTAGCTGCAATCCCGAACGATTCCCCGATGCTCAGCTGTCGACCCTGTTGTATTCTTCTTTTAACGGGATTAGGATCATCGTCAGAATGAGTTCTCCTTTTTGTCTTGCCCCGGTTAGAGCCCGCCTTAACAATCTCTTCAAACTGTACGTACTGTGACTCATGTACCCTTCTTACATGTTGTTTCAAATTATTCAGACTTGATACATGAACTTTTATTTTGGTGTCTTTCGGCAAGCATCGCTTACACGCAAAAAGTATTTGCTGGCCCGATCTGGATACAAATTCCACATACTCAGTCAAATGTGGCCATGGATTCTCATCAGGACCGCTGGAAACCGATTCCATGTCTTCCATGATATGGTTTTAATTACTACACTGCACAGTACACTTTTTCTAACTAAATTACATTCACTCTTCTTTATCAACACGCAAATGATCACTGACAGTAATTTATAATATCAACAAACAAAACATTCGTCACTCTAAGCACTGGCGCTAAGTAATGAAATGAACAAACGAAAAAATATCTTCGCAGTTTTCTCACTCGCA